CATTCATAAGGCATCAAGAGATTCCACAGTGTCTTCGAAACAACGAAGAAAAAGGTTTACAAGAAATTTGTGGGTTGATGTCTGCTACGTGGACTCCGTTTGATAAAAATTTCAACCGTTTCCCAGACAGAGAATTTCTTTTCATCGTACAAGAGTTCAGCGTCATTGTAATTATGTGTGGAGGAACTGCCGTTTCCTTTACGACTTTTGAAATCGCAACAGTTATAGTTTTGAAAATTAAGCATCTCCATAAACTACTGCGGCACGCCTTTGATGATTCGGACCGCGTAGTTTGGCGCAGAAACCTCGACCATTGCATTAAGTACCACAGACACATCATCAAGTACTACCCTGTAATTGTAAACAAAATGAGAGATTTCTAAGTACTTAGTTTTTTAGGCTGCAGGAATTATTCGACATGCAATATAAATACCCCAACGGATGTTATGTACTGATAGTGGGTGTCGTGATCGCTAGTCTAGCCAACCAATATATGAAAGTATGAAATTATCCCCTAAATGGATCTAAAATTTGTTTTTTAGGAAAAAAATTTTGGTGCGGTCATTCATCTAGGCGGTTGGGTTTTTAGTTTCTTTATTTGCTGCCATGCAGGACAAATCTTACGCACAGAAGTACGGAGCGATTTTTATGGAGGGTCAACGTAAACGGTACTTTTTTAGAGTATGATGATACCGAAGGCAATTTATAATTCTAAGTGGTATAAACTCCCGGTAAATCTGCAGAAGATTGTTTTGATGATGATTAAACGATCGCAGCAACCCATGGAACTACATGCAGCACCGATTGGAGTCATGTCGCACGAACTTTTCATTACCGTAAGTTAGAAAATTTTACAATCACTTGAAAATAAAAGTTTTTAGCTCGTGAAAACGTCGACTTCTTATTTTGCTCTTCTTAACCAAACGACTTAGAAAAACTGCAACGGATAAAATTGCTTTCTGAATATTTTTTTTATTAAATACTCGTAGTGGCCAATTTCAATGTGAGACTTCGAGCATAGTAAATAAATAGAGAGTAATTCATTTGATTAAATTTATTTTATCTAATAAAAAAAAAACGATATGCTGCTGCCCGCTAGTCGACCCTAGATTTATGAAGCAGAAACTCTGCCACTCATCCACGCTTCCTATTAGAAGATTTCGTACTAAGTTTGTAAAAAACAAGGCGGTTTTAACAATAAAAAATATAGTAACAATAGACAAAATCAAGATAGATTCGTAAACCACAAGTACGGGAGTTTATTATTTCATAGAATTTCAGTAATGTTATTTAAGTAATGTAATGAGTGGAAGTCATAATATTGTTGGTGGGGTGATAATGCAAATTTTGTTTAGACCTTTACCCCCTACACGATATTCCTAACACACAAATAAAATTTGACATCGATCGGTCTAGCAGAGATTCAAACTTGCATGTTTCAATGGCATTATTGTTATTACAAATAAACTATATGTGTTGCTAGTCTCACTCTGTAGTTTCATTTTATTACAAACTATATAAAACAAAACGTTATTTCTAAACGTCATTTTAAATTTAATGTGTTTTTCTGTAATTTCCTCTAAACGTAAATTAGCATTAATAATTTTGAGAATAAGGGAATCAATTATTCATCTGTTAATTACAATCCAAAAGATCTGAATTTTTCACGCAACTCTGCATTTGTGTATAAATAAGACGCTCCCACCGTTAAAGTATTCATTCCTACCTTCTTGTTTGACTACTACTCAAAAAATTACCGTGCTTAACATAAATACTCAGCCGAAATTTATATAAAAAAAAAAACATGAAAAGTGAGGAAAGGTTCCTCAACCATAGTTTAAAACAACTGAGAATCCGTCAATTCTGGACACAGAAAGGCCATTCTGTGTCTTTCGCTTTTTACTTTCGGTATTTTCTGATGGTCATCATCTGCTCGCCTTTTTGGATAGGACTTCTGGTTCACTTCATCATTGTTATAAGAGGTAAGAAACATGTTAGATACTACCCATTTGAAAAATTTCTCGCAGATGATCTAGACGTGAATTTAAGTGGAGACGTTGCGCTATTAACTTCGATGGTGGGTTTACATTTTATGTCATCCTCCATCGTCTGGAAACACAAAAAAATCGCCCATCTCTTCAAGGCTTTAACGACTCCCACACAATTTGGAAAACCGGACAATTTTGAAAAAACCGTTCGCAAACTCAACTTGTACTCGAAATCGTACGCCTGTTATTGCGTATCAGGCTCGTTTGTATACGCTTTATTAAGGTATCGAGAGATTCCACGATGTCTTCAAAACAACGAAGAAAAAGGTTTGCATGAAGTATGTGGAGCGATAGGTCCTACTTGGGCTCCGTTGGGCATAAATCTCAACCGGTTCCCAAACCAACAATTTTTGCTCATCGTGCAGATGATCAGTGTGCTTGTAATTATTTGTGGAGGAGCTGCTGTTTCTTTCACGACGTTTGAAATTGCAACAATCATCGTCTTGAAAATGAAAAATCTTCGTAAACTATTGAGACACGCCTTTGACGATTCTAAAGACGGAGTTTGGTGGAAGAACCTCGACCATTGCATAAAGTACCATACACACATTATCAAGTACTAGCCTGTAATTATAAACAAAACGAGATATTTCTAAGTAGTTTTTCAGGCTGCAGGAATTATTCGACATGCAGTATAAGTACCCCAACGGAAGTTACGTTCTGATAGTGGGTGTCGTGATCGCCGGTCTAGCCAACCAATATATGAAAGTATGAAATTATTCCCTAATTATATCTAAAATTCACTTTTTAGGAACAAAATTTTGGTGCGGTCATTCATCTAGGCGGTTGGGTTTTCAGTTTCTTTATTTCCTGCCACGCTGGACAAATCTTACTCACGGAAGTACGGAGCGATTTTTATGGAGGGTCCAATAAACGGTACTTTTTTAGAGTATGATGATACCGAACGCAATTTATAATTCCAAGTGGTATAAGGTCCCGGTAGATTTGCAGAAGATTGTTTTGATGATAATTACCCGATCGCAACAACCCATGGAACTGCATGCAGCACCGATTGGGGTCATGTCGCACGAACTTTTCATTACCGTAAGTTAGAAAATCTTACAATCACTTGAAAATGAAAGTTTTTAGCTCGTGAAAACATCGACTTCTTATTTTGCTCTTCTCAGCCGAACGACTTAGAAAGATTGCAGCGGATAAAATTGCTTGCAGATTTTTTTTTATTATTAAATAGTAGTGTCGCCAATTTCATTGCACGTTAAATGAATAAAATCGTCAAATGCCGCAAAAGTACTTAGTTATTAACCCATTTTCCACACACAAAGCGTTTTCTCTGTCAAGTTACTTTTGAAAAATGTCAAACGATGAACGCTTCATGCACGAAAGCATTAAACAACTCAAGATTCGTTGCTTGTGGCCTTACGGAAAGTCGGGGACGCCTTTTTCCTACTTTCGGTAGTTCTTGGTGGTACTCAATTGTACCCAAGTTGGATCGGAGTTATTATGCACATCATAGTAATCACGAAAAAAAATGAAACACGGTATGAAAAAAAATGGTCTAACGTTATTTCGATAGAACTTCCATCACGTCTGAAGTTGACATTTTAAATAAAATTTGCTTAGCACTTATCTTGGTTGAGATGGATAGATAATTTTTGGTTATCGATCCACCTAAACGTTGATAAACTCAAAACACGTGGTAGATTTCAGAGCAAATGGCACAGGAGTTTCTAAAAGAAACTGTAAAGTTTTATTCCAGTTTTGATTTTTTTTTTTTTTTTTCTAAGACAAGGGACTAATTAAAATTTTCTTAAATTTGATTTTTCAGTTAAATTTTCACGGTAGCTAATTTTTGAAATCGCGGACTCGATGATGGATAACTAAGCGGGTCGAGAGGGGATGTAATGCACCGAAATCCAGTCTGAACAAGTATGTTGGAAATGAACTTTGAGTGATTTTTGAAAAACAGTGTTTTGGTTTTTCGTGAACAAAAAACCAAAGTGAAGTTTAAACGGTTTTTGAAAATAGTTATTTCGGTTTTTGATGGGTACAGTGTTAGCGAGTTAGTGGCAAAACGAAGTAAGAAGATTTTCTGGAGGCTCTACTTGTGGTAAGTTTGTATAGCAAGTTATGACGGAGAGCTTTTTTCGTCCCTGAACTGCAGGCAAACAAATACAGATTCTTCGAAAAATTATAAAATATAATTTTGCAAATTTAATTTTTTATGATAACCCCTATAACTTAAAATAAATATAATTGCGGACTGTTAACTATACAATGTCTCAAGTGGGTTTTTCCATAACATTTTATGATGACATCATGAACACTTTAATTGCCTCATTCACTCATTTCTTTGATTCATCTTGTATAAATAATTTTAAAAAATTCGTCGAAGATTATTTACAATAAAAAAAATATAGTAATAATAGACAAAATCAAGATAGATTCATAAACCACAAGTACAAGAGTTTATTGTTACATACAATTTCGGTAATGTTTCGGGGATGATTATCCAAACTTTGGTTGGCGTTATAAAACCTACACGATATTCCTAATACACATATAAAATTTGAAATCAAACGGTCCAGCAAAGATTCAAACTTGAATGGTCAGTGGAATTATTGTTATTACAAATAAACAATACGTTAGTTACCCAGATAGACTCATGCATTCTTTGTTGATGGTCTCACTCTGTAGTTTAAATTTATTACAAGCTATACAAAACAAAAACGACATTTCTAAACGTCATTTTTAATTTAATGAGTTTTTTCTAATTTACTTTAAACGTGAATTAGAGGCACATCAATAATTTTGAGAACTAGGGAATCAATTATTCATCTCTTAATTACAATCCAAAAGATCTGAATTTTTCACGCAGCTCTGGATTTGTGTATAAATAAGACGCTCCCACCGTTAAAGTATTCATTCCTACCTTCTTGTTTGACTACTACTCAAAAAATTACCGTGCTTATCATAAACACTTATCCGAAAAAAATGAAAAGCGAAGAACGGTTCCTCAACCATAGTTTAAAACAACTGAGAATCCGTCAATTCTGGACACAGAAGGGCCATTCTGTATCTTTCGCTTTTTATTTTCGGTATTTTCTGACGGTCATCATCTGCTCCCCTTTTTGGATAGGACTTCTGGTTCACTTCATTATCGTTATAAGAGGTATGAAACATGTTAAATACCACCTATTTGAAAAATGTTTCGCAGATGACCTAGAGGTGAATTTAAGTGGAGACGTTTCGGTCTTAACGTCGATAGTGGGTTTACATTTCATGTCATTCTCAATTGTCTGGAAACACAAAAAAATCGCCGACCTCTTCAACGCCCTAACGGCTCCCACAGAATTTGGAAAACCGGACAATTTTGAGCAAACCATTCGCAAACTCAACTTGTACTCGAAATCGTACGCGTCTTATTGCATATCAGGTATGTTCGTATATGCATTCATAAAGCATCAAGAGATTCCACAATGTCTTCGAAACAACGAAGAAAAAGGTTTGCAAGAAGTTTGTGGTGCGATGACACCTACTTGGACTCCGTTTGACATAAATTTCAACCGTTTTCCAAACAGACAATTTCTGCTCATCGTACAACTGATCAGCGTGTTTGTAATTATTTGTGGAGGAGCTGCCGTTTCCTTCACGACTTTTGAAATCGCAACAGTTATAGTTTTGAAAATGAAGCATCTCCGCACATTATTGAAGCACGCTTTTGATGATCCGAAGAACGTAGTTTGGTGGAAAAACATCGACTGTTGTATAAAGTACCACAGACACATCATCAAGTACTACCCTGTAATTGTAAACAAAATGAGAAATTTCTAAGTACTAGTTTTTAGGCTGCAGGAATTGTTCGACATGCAATACAAATACCCCAATGGAAGTTATGTGCTGATAGTGGGTGTCGTGATCGCCGGTCTAGCCAACCAATATATGAAAGTACGAAATTATCCCCTAAGTGTATCTAAAATTCGTTTTTTAGGAAAAAAATTTTGGTGCGATCATTCATCTAGGCGGTTGGGTTTTTAGTTTCTATATTTGCTGTCGGGCAGGACAAATCTTACTCACAGAAGTACGGAGCGATTTTTATGGAGGGTCAACGTAACCGGTACTTTTTTAGAGTATGATGATACCGAACGCAATTTATAATTCCAAGTGGTATAAGCTCCCGGTAGATTTGCAGAAGATTGTTTTGATGATAATCACGCGGTCGCAACAACCCATGGAACTGCATGCAGCACCCATTGGGGTCATGTCGCACGAACTTTTCATTACCGTAAGTTAAAAAATCTTACAATCACCTGAAGACAAAAATTTTTAGCTCGTGAAAACGTCGACTTCTTATTTTGCTCTTCTCAGCCAAACGACTTAAAAAAACTTGTTCATTAAATAGTAGTATCACCAATTTCATTGTGAGAATCCGAGCACGTTGTCTGAATAAAATCGTTAAATACTGGAAAAGTACTTAGTTATTACCCCATTTTCCGCACACAAAGCTTTTATAGATAACTATAAAGCAAGAGTCGTCTCCACTTAACGCGACATTGAAACGTACCAGATTATTAACAATTTTATAACATTATCCATCACTATAATCATTGAAAATATTTATTTCAATCAATACACACATCAAAGTGTTTTCTATCGACAGTTACTTTTGAAAAATGGCAAACAACGAACGCTTCATGTACGAAAGCATTAAACAACTCAAGATTCGTTGCTTGTGGCCTTTTGGAAAGTCGGCGACGCCTTTTTTCTACTGTCGCCACATCTTGCTGATACTCAATTGCACCCAAGCATGGATCGGAGTTATTCTGCACATCATTGTAGTCACGAAAGGTACGACTTCCCATAAGTCACAAATCCAAAAATAAAAAGTTTATAGATCATCTCGACGTCAGCATAAGTGGCGACATATCAGTCCTGGCAGCTCTTGTGGGATTACAGTCGATGTTAATGACGTTCGTCTGGAGACAAAAACGACTCGCCCAGTTAATCCACGAATTAACGGATTTTTCGAAATTTAATAAACCAAAGAATTATGCAAACGAAGTGCACCAACTCAATTTCTACTCGAAAATGTACGGATACTATTGTATCATCGGAGTTTTAACGTACATCTATTGGAGGTACCTTGAAGGTTTACAGTGCTACGAGAACAACGAAGTTAAAGGTTTAACGGAAATTTGCGGTTTAATAGCATCAATTTGGATGCCCTTCGATGTAGAATATTTTCCCGTTAAGCAGTCGTTCTACGTGAGTCATTTCATTATTTGCTTTAGTATGATAACAGGAGGAGCTGCTATTTCTTTTACTACGTACGAAGTGGCAGTTGGCATCGTCCTCAAACTCCAACACCTTCAGCAGTTCTTGAAGACGGTATTTGATAACCCTGTGGAAGAAATTTGCCAAAAACAACTATTTCACTGCATCGAGTATCATAAACACATCATCCGGTAGATGAAATTAGAGAAAATTTTTCCAGATGTAACTGTTTTTTTAGACTTCAGGAACTCTTCGATGGATTCTACAAGTACTGCAACGGCAGCTACATATTAATGGCCGGTATTATAATCGCCAGTCTTGCCAATCAATACATGAAAGTAACACCAATTTAAATTTCTTTTTTCAGACAGTTTTTTTTTTGCAGGAAAACAACTTCGGTGCACTGTTGCATTTATGCGGATGGCTTTTCAGTTTCTTCATTTGCTGTCATTCCGGACAGATTATAATTTCAGAGGTGAGTGAGACGAGTAATCAAGATGTTTTTGATAGTGGATAATCTAGAGCGAGAAGATTCCAAATTCTGCGTTTGAAGCAAACTGGCAGGGAGTTTCTACCGACTTGCAAAAAATGCTTTTGTTGTTTATAATGAGATCTCAGAAAAAGTTAGAACTTCATGGTGCTCCGATTGGAGTAATGTCGTACGAACTTTTTATCAAGGTAAATAAAATAATAGGCTTGACAATCACAAAGTAAACTTTTTCAGTTGATTCAAACTTCGTATTCGTACTTTGCGCTACTTAATCAAAGTACTTAACGCACTCCAGCCATAAGTTTTACTCGTTTCTCACAGTACTTTCTATTCTAACTTTCTATTTTAGCACTGTTGCTGTTTCATATACGAATGCTTTAAGCAACTAATAAAAAAAAATGTCTCTACCGTCTTTTTATTTTTAACCAAAATAAGAAAATGTTGCAACTAGAAACAATCAACCTAGAAAAAAATCATAAGGAAATACGTACTTTTAGAAAGTGAAAGACTTAATACACAGCTATAAAATAAAAGCGCACCTGACATATCGTGCTAAATCAATAAACAATGGTCTGAATAAATAACGACAAAATTATGTGTTTGTGCGAATATTGCGGTAAAACTGCACTTGTTACAAGAATACACCCCAATTGACCTAGTTTATTTCTTCCACTGTTAAAATATTCACTATGTGAAGGTGAAAATAACGTTTTAATAGAAATTTTAGTGTTTAGTTTAGTGCTCGGAGATTTAGTCTTAAAATATTTCAAAATTTGTCACTTCAAAAAATGAAGTGATCAAAACATCTATGAAAATTTCAGTTCGAAGAAATGTAAATCCCAGAATTATGTACGGGGGTATTGAAAACTGAGCTTTTGGTGAAGTCCACCAAAAATTTTGGAAAACACATTCCGACGAACTCAGTTTAAAAACCTTTTTTATCGATGAAAAATTGGGCGGCCAAAAATTATGGAAAAAAACATATTTGTGCAGGAATGATTCATCACTCATTCAAAGTAAGCCCAGCTCGATACGACGACCGGTTTTCTAAATACTTGCTTTCAAATTCAAATTTTTAATATATCTCAAATACTGTCGTGTTTCATTTTGGAAATTTTGGAAAAATGGTGTGAATTTTCGAAAAAATGAAGATTTTAAAGGTCAAATTCAACAAGGGAATCGTCTTCAGAAGTTTTCAAAGCTACTGGGGAAAATTTTCGTAGAAGCACGTACGCTCGTTTTTATGCGCCCCCTGGTATTCGCCAGCCATTCCGTTGGTAGCATCGAACTGTAGACTAGATTAGCTGTACACCGACATTTTATTAATCGATGTTGTGTTATTTATGATTTCTGCAGGGAACTGTAATAACTCACAAACCACATCAATTTTATATCAGGGATCTGCATTCACAGCAAACTTCGCGCCGCTATTTAAAGGTGGCGCGCATTTGCTCAAAATTTAAAACCTCTTTTATCTCTTATATCAAATAATTTATTTATGCACTAAGGGCTTGAAGTGGCTATTTTTGACCCGAGAGGTGGAACTGATAATATCTTAAAGGGCGAAAAATGCAAACCACGTCTAAAAGTTTTCTTTTAATATCGCAAAATGTTTATTGTCAAACTGAACAAACATAAAACTGTTTGTAGTAGGTAATTTTAAGGAAACTACGCTGGCAAATGGCTTTCATTTTCATCAAATACACAGTTTTTATCAAATAAAATAACTTAAAGACAAAATCACAAAATATATAATTACTTTTAGGACAGCTGGTACTTTGATTTGCAAACAAAAAATTAATTCCGCTCTGCTGATTAGTATTCGAGAAACAAAAACAAAAACAAAATGCTATTATAAAGATGAACCATTTCCAGCTACTTAATCAAACTACAATACTCAAAGCACGTCACTGCAGCTTTCTTCAAAGATAATCTTATCTCCTTCTCATGTACTGTTTTAATTTAGCACAGCTTGGAATAATATATTGTGCAACAAGTAGTAATAAGCTATTCTCGTTTATCACACGCGAGTGGTGCACTCCTTTGTAGGCGTTTAATTTAATCAAAATAAAGAAACAAAGTTTTTTTTAACCCAATTGGAACGATCTTTTTAAGGTATAAAATTTATGTAAAACCCGGAAACAAAATAGCAGTTGTCACTAAACAAACGTATGAAACATCGTAATTAAAACAAAATTTAAAAATAAAACTGACATAGAACGCCACTTCAAGAATCCAAATTGTGGTTTAAGATTTTAATAATCACGAAAATTCCCACAACAATAACATATATCAAGATATTTATAAATTTCCCAACTGCATTGTTCCTAAACATAATAAGAAATCTGGTGCCGCATTTCACAAGATCATTTATTGTTTGGTTAAATACAAATCTTTCTAAAATTAAAATAACCCTGTGATGTATAAATTTCAAACTTGACTTCTCTTAAATCAATCAGCTTCAGATGCTATAAGCCTCGAACTAATAAATATCCGTTTATATCCTCACAATTTCCAAAACTAACACACAATAACTTCCAACTTCAGCAGACAACCCATAATTACCATACTTTTGATAATTCTTGGAGCACTTTATTTACCGATCAGCGCGGAAAATCCAAAAACTAAATTAAATCGTATCAAAGTTGTTTGCTGACACTCGTGCATTATCAAAGTGTGCATTCTGTTTATTTGGTGTGACTTATAATAACACCATACGCACTCATAATGACCCAAAATTTCGACAACAAACCGATAATACAAGAACGTCTTGATTAGTGACGATGAATCCAACACTTTTACGATGAACAAACAAAAAATATTTACTCAATTCGCAAACATGTCATAAATAACCAAGTTTTACGCATTTAGTGTCTGTGAAAAAGTCAAAACGTGCATGGGAAATACTAACGAATCGAAAATTGAGTACACCTCCAAACATCTAGGTTCTCGCAGCAAATTGAGCAAGGTTGAAAAAAAATTACGGCGATGACGTCAAAGGAGGCTATTTATAGATCATCTATTATCAAAATGAAACAGGTGATGATCAATGGTTGTACTACAATTGATTTCGAAATTGAACAGGTGAATAAAGTTCCTTTAGAGATTGCCAAAAATTGAAAATTATCATGTCTACCACGATTGACACTTTGTGACCGTTTACTTTTTGGAATGACCACGTGACTGAAAGAAATGATAACAAATAAAGAAAATAAACACTTGAGGTATAGTAAACAAAGGTGACTAAGGCAATATTTCGTAAGAGTATTTTACTCGAATTTATTGTCGATGGCACTTCATAGAAGTCCCCAAGGACGTCACAATTAATAAAAATTTTTTAACTGGTGTGCGAAGAACATAGAACCACCTTTGTACCTGGTTCCAACAACTCAGTGGAAAAACTGTTGGCTGATGCAACTTTTCCGAAGACTCCACGTATTAGTCTTTGACAAACGTCACGCTTACCTATTTACAGTGACAAATCAATAATTAGTAGTAAAATAAATATTCGCTCATTGTCAATCACGAACTAGTGAGTGTACTACGACGTGACGCGCCAATCTCTAGTCTAAAGATTTTCAATGGGACTCAGCTCTGTCTAGTTCAAGAGCACTCGATTCAATCTCGACCGCTTCTAGGAAAATGATGCAAATTCGCGGCAAATTGTACGAAAGTTTTTACTACGCCGTAAAAACAAAACAGCAGTATAATCGTGATTATAGAGAAAAACGGTCATAAAATGTACTAATCCTTGAATCAGAACAATAAAGTGCGAACCGCCCTATCATAACCTGACTCAACAAAATTTCTGGTTTCTTTTGAAAGTCGTCCGATGAATTACACTCTCGCGGAACAAGATGATTGCACAATTTGCAGATTCTCAGATTGGAAATTCCATTATCTGGCTTATCGTGGACAATTTTAAAAACCTACATGCTTGGAAAATTGCACTTTATTAAAAGATTGGCCTCGTTTTTTAAAATAGATTTCGGTTATCGTGTCAGGGGGTATGAAGCAATAACTCTGTATAAAGTATGAATCAACGCGTAGTAGAGTGCGAATGGACAAGTACCGGACATCAAATTTTCCACAAAATTAATGAAAACATGTTTTCGTCGATGTTATCACCGGATTAATTTAGATAGCAGTAATTTTATTAATAACCCTTTTTGCAGGATTTTTAACCCTACAAGAGTAACGATGTTATTTTTAACGACACTGCGACGCGTCAACGCGAAAAGGCAAATCGTGTTTATCCGCTAACCAGCCAAAACGGTTCATTCTAATTATCATTTCCAGCCTTTCTGTGACATCTCTGTTAATTTACTTAAGCTTGCTCATAAAAAATAAACAATGCTTGTGAAATTCTAAGGTCAAAAAACTATGACCGCGGCTAAATCGTCGCACTTATGAATCCCGAAATTAGTGCGCTAAAAATAGACTAATCCCAAGAGGAAACTACTACAAGAGATAACAACCGATAGAGTACAACTCTTGGACTCGATAACTCACTCGGTACTTGACGAAAGTCGAAAAAATATTTTTCGTCTGGTTGGCTACAAAAATTCCGAAAAGATATCGCGCCAATGCATAAACAACAGACAAACAACTTCAATCTGTTTTTTGTTTACTCCACCTGACATCTCGACTTACTAGCTTCTCTCGGAAATGACAAAAAATTGATGAAAGGTGTTCGCAGCGCGCTCCCTTCGGGCCTCTGCCGGTAGAAATAGACACCCATAGATTAGCTGGTCACCACGCACGGCGGTCAACCCAAAAGTCTTGTATTCATCATCTTGGGCGTTTTTTTTTGTCTCAAATTTTTTTCCCACTGACGATATCCTCAAAGGAGATACAAAAAACGATGACCATCTTAAGGAGTTTCTTTCAATAAAAAGTGCAACTCGTACATTAATTTGTAGTTTATATTATCGGCATAATCTAAATAAGTAGAACAGTGAACTTGCGTAACTTCATTCAGATTATGGAAGAATCGAGATAAAGAACAAATGATAAGAGATCAACTTCTAGATTTTTTTCTTTGTTACTAGGTGATAAGTGGTAAATTACAAAGAGTGGAAGATTAAAGAGTCCTAAAATGTCAACTATTCAGCATAATAATTCATCTGCAAACTTCAAAGTACTGTTTGAACATTTCTCACAATTTTTATGTCACGTCTCCGCAACATTTCTGTTATTGTAGGAGCTATAAAAGCCTCACTTAAATTAACTGTTCTTAATAATCTTTGGTTTCTGAAATAAAAGATGTTCCTGGTACAAGGTTCAACTGGTCACAATGATTTCATCGACGAAATTCCGAGTTCCAAAATGACTCCTGACTGACAGATCTAGATTTGTCAACTGCTAGGTACTGTAAGTTTGGTACCACCTTGTATATTTAGTCGTCGTCTTGGGGAAACCATTTAAAAGCAATTTTCCATGACTCATTTGCCTCTGATGTAAATTTTGCATGTTTGTTCGTCGTGATGTACTACGCCAAATTGTTTATAGTCATCAGCTGGTTAACCTTTGTTGGGAACTTCCTTCCCTAATGACCGTTATTACTCGCAGGTCAGTGCTAACCTTCAAGCCACAACATGCAGACCCAATTAAATGAAAAACCAGCTGTACGCCACAAAATCCCCACGGTAGTCCGTACAAACCTAAAAGAGTCCTTAAAACCCCTTCTGCCACAACTTGGCAACAAACACACCTTCTGCTCTATTTGCCCATCACATTACAACCATTAGCATTGACCCTGAACGGTCAAAACCGAACGCAAACTTGCAACACATTTCCACAGCAGCGCCATCCAACATCCAAAAAAAAGAGAATTATAATCCTATTAATAACCCAGCGACCTCCCGCAGCGTCCAAATTCCTCGCAAAGTCTACATCGTCGATTTTCCGCGTGTTACCCATTTATATAATTCGCGTTATCTCTTCGTCCTCGCGATAACCCATCGCAATTTTCCATCGAAAAATAACCCTCAACATTGGTCCAGCGATCGAAAACGGCTCTCGACTCTCCTAGCGACCGATAACAGGTACGTCGTGACGAAACTCTCCCCACATGGATCATTATCATCACATCACTGATAAGCCGGCCCAGGTACAAAACCGACCGGTTCGCGACGTAAACTTCATTCCTGATTTCACGCACACACACGGTACGAGCACGGCGCTTTGCGATAATTTAAAAAGTGTGCGGTGTTGTGGCGAGTAGTGTTTGGGTTCGTGTCGCCGAAATGGGTCTTCCGTGGCGTGGATGGTTGATCTTCGCGTGGTGGACGGCCGGGATTTATGGATACAACGTGCAGCGATTGGGTAAGTCGACTTCTATTTTTGACGCCTGGGTGACAGATTTAGATGTGGGTTTTGGGTCCTCGGCCGTGGGCTTTCTCTTGCCGTGGGACCGAGAAACAATGGTGGAGTGCAATTACCATCGTCGAGCGACAATTAAAACCGACGTTATCTGACCGCGCTGGCTCGTTTTACGGTTATTAAAGCAAAATGAAGAATTTGTCGGTGTTTGTTTAGTTATTCCCGGCCGCGTATTAAAATAACAAACCGTTCCTTATTTTTAATTTCGTTCGGAGGTTATTGGGGGCTCTTCTGCCAAATAACTTTACTCAGAGAGGTATTTATTTTTGTGTGCGAATTGAGACAAAACGTTCCAATTTGATGTTGTACAAATATTTGCGGAGATGTTAAGACGTGTTGGTCCGGGGATTAGAGTCGCTTTTCGTTTAATCCCCGCGTTTCGAAAATGACACTCACATTTACGGTTCGGTTCTTCGGTTTTCCTCTTGATTGCTTCGCTGGAAATTTCTTCACCGCTGATGCAGCGTCTGAGTCACGTCTCTGCCCTCTCTTTACCAGAAATCGGGTTTACCGGAGCAGTAAAAGAGCGATAACACAATCCGGGGGATAAAAAAATTGTTTGCCGAGTTAATTTAATGACCACGTGCAGAAAGCCCGCGATTACCGCGTCCCGAATTATCGCTGTTCTACGAAGTTTTAATCCTGGCGCTCTTCTTAGACAAACCTATCTGGTTTCGAAACAACAGTACGGTTAATACCGTTCGCGTTAACCATTACACAATATTTCCACTTTGGATCTGATAACAAAAAATTACATTACTCACAGGAAACAATTGTTATTATTGTGGCCAGTGAGAATCGTCCGTGATAATTATAACATCGCAGTTTGTTGACACTGGATCCCTCACTTCTATTTATATCGTAAAATTTTCGATAACTCTCTTCTGCCTTTCGGTTATGCAAGGTTAGGGCTGTTACGACCTCAATTACTTTCTATTGTTTTCACTGCCAAAACTTAACTGATGGGTTCACGGCAATTGATCTTTCGAATTAATAAAGCAATAAGTTCGTTTTTAAATGATCTGGTACAGCAGGACAACTCGTGCCAACTTCGTGGCACGGATTACGCCTATTTGGGCTCGTTATTGGTAATTAGACCAGTCTTTAAATCACGTTAAACACGATGTTGACGTAACTGTTAATTTGATTTGGTCGCCTTTGTACTACGGTAAATTCTGCCGTTAAAGGCGATTTACACGTATTCTCTGATCTGCTAATTGAGTCTAACATCCACCACTGACGAATGTTGGTTTCAGCAAGTGGCAAAATTTAACAAACGATTCCCGGATTCTCAACGGAAATCTGCATTTTCTGACTCATCGATTCTCTTAATTTACTACTTTGAAGTTAACGTAAGCTTACTGGGTCGCCGGATGTTTACCTTAATGCGATTCCAAATTGAGGTACCTTCATGACTACAAAATGATGTTATTTCTTATACAAAAGACTCGTCGGAACAATTCTTCAACCTTACCGTTTTGAAAATCCTCCACTTTTTTGTTCTAAACGGGGAATTTCGGAAGCCGCAGTGCGTGACTGCAATCGAAACCTCAAGGAGAGCAGCCTGCGGCTCGTACAAAAACCCAGTCGTTACCCAAAACGCGCTTAATCATCGACAACAACCACCAACGCTAACCGCTCCTCTTTGATTTCAGAAGACGACCCTCGCCAATCCCTCAACTTAGGCGACTTTTTCTTCAGCCCCGAAACGAACAAATTCTTGGATGATCGCGACGAAAGCACGTCCGAAGAAGCCCTCTACCCCAACACTCGAAACCCGGGAACCACCCGTCCCCCAGGTAAATACCGCCACTCGCCCGACCCTAATAATCCTTCTGTATTGTTAGGTGCCGGCGCCCAAAAACAAATGTTCTTGCTATTCGTACACAACGATAACTACACTGGAGGTAAATACACTCTCTGGTGTCCTTTATCGTAGAGTAGTTATTGGGTTATTAGTGTTTTATAATCGCCCTAACTAAATGTTTTTGTTTTAGGGAGCCCCGACTCCACCCCCTTGGACTCGTGGTCGGTGGTGTGGTACATCGCCTCGTTCGGCGGGTTGATCGTGTTCTTCCTGATAGTGTCCTGCTCCGAGTGGTGCTGCCGTCGCGCTATCCGCAACAGCCAGCAGAACTGCAGCAGGAACGCCCCTACGACGGCGTCTCCGAGCGTACCGGACACGCCGCCTCCGTCGTACGACCAGTTCGCGCCGCCGTCGTACGAGAGCATATGCTTAGGGAGGAACCGCAGCGGCGAGAAGAGCGAGTACGACATCTACGTGGTGCCGGTGCACACGCTGGGCTCGTTGGTGGAGAGTCGGCGGGAAGATGAGCCGCCGTCGTACCTGAGCGCCTCCGGCGGAGCTCTGCCGGGATTAGAAGACAATCGAGCGGCGAGAGTGACGTGAAGGAAGACAATGGGAGGAGAGTTTATTGCTTGATAAGAAATCCGAGGCAATAAATTTTAATGTTCCGGTTCTAGCGAGACCAAACAGAGATTATCTGGTGGGGCGCCGATATCGCACTTGTGATATTAATAGTGATAAGTTAGGGGTTAGAGCATTCGATTCTCAGGGTGTAGAGTTGACTCTCGGAACAGTATTTCGGGTTTGACCAAAGAGACTTTATATCCGACGTGCCTTATTTATTGAGCTGCGGAAGACTGCTTGAAATACGTAGGTTTAAGTATTTTGTACCTGCTTGTGAATTATTTATTTATATACGTACTATCTTGTATTCTCCTTGTGATATTATGTTTGTTTTATGTGACGCCAGTGGCGCGAACGGACCACTGGAACTTGTTGTTCTGGAGCGTAACCGATAATAAAGTAAAACAATGGCCGAAGCGTCTAATTATTGTTATTATCGACGAAGACCTGAAAACTTCCACGCCAAACTTGTTCGTGTCGCTGTCGATGCAATAAAAAAAACAACTGCGTATGCCGATCGCTTCGACATTAAGTTTCAAGGTAAAATACATATCGCACTAAAGAAACGTACTATTTACGAGATAATGGCAGTACCTGCTCGAGCCCGCAAACATTTGCAACGATAATTAATTCAAATTTGGAAAAGGTATTAAACGTGCTAATAATAGAACGAAGATAACTAATCTAATTATCGCATATGATGCACTTATCTCAAAAGTGACGCTTTTTCTATTAATAATGTTAACAACTATAAATCACACGTCTCGTTCCGGATTCTTTGATTTATCGTGGTCGTAGACGCGTCAAATCGAATTTTTGAGGAAAACTACTACCGACGCTTATTAGTAAGTTTTAACTACTCGACATTGAATTATGAATAGTTGGGTAATCTACCAAAAGCGAACTTCGATATGCCACGAACACTCGTAACGCCACTTTAGTGATATAGGCTGCTTTGGGAGCAAAATACGTCATAATAGCTAAAGGACGTTACAAAACAGCGTTACGACAAGGTCTCGACGTATTTCTAAACCTGCCAAAATGATTTAAGGCCGCTCATACGATAAAATAGTACCTACCTAGTAGAAAAATCGGCGGTAAAATGGTAGCTTGCAGTACCTCGTAGGCGCGGTAGGAAGGACCAAAGAAAGGTTAAACAGGAGAAAAAAAAAATCGGAAGTAATAAGAAATAACTTTGTAATTTTCCCTTCCTCTTTCAACGTTAAAAAAGTGCAGCAACAGCCTTAACAACGTCAGCTGCAAATCCGTTAACAAAACCGAGAACAACGCGCCAACTTCGCCTAACAACCGCACCTCTACTTCTCAGAAGCTTCCATCCATAAGAAATCCATAGAAGATTTTTCCACGTTTAAATATAAAACAAGAATAGAAGCATTAACGCGATGTTCTAAGAAATATCGAGTCGTGGAAGAGTGCACAAGCAAAAACCCGGAGCTAAATTAGCTAGAACCTCGACAGTCGACAACGCGTTACAAGCGTCTGATATTCAGGCAACCAACAGTACACATCTGCGTCGCCACTAATCTAACCCCAGCCGCGCCTCCGCCGCTCCGGGTTCTGAAAAATGTGGTCAACCTTGCCTTTTCAACCTGAAACGTCTACAGCAAACAACTTAACGACTCTACGATTCAATAAATAAAAGGCAGCGTCTTGTTACCGTGTGATCCAAGAGTTATTTTTATCTAGAATCTGCATAATTAGAGAATTTCGCTCAAGCTGACCTTGCGAATCCAATTACGGCTCCTTCGGCTGTTACGATTTCGGTAAACCCGTGGAAACAAAACCATTATCGCATCGGTCTAATGATATGCAATTAGGTTTTTGCCTGTCGAAAATTTTCCATCGTCGAGTGCATTTTTTTGCGACGACGCCTCCGGCGTCTCGTACGTGACGGCCCCGGCGTCCACCGCCAGATCTTTTCTTCTTGAAGAACGCACTCGGCCTCCGAGCCTCGTTTGGACTACTCCGTATTGCATAATTGCGGCGAGAGAGACAATCCTGCCGCGGCCGTAGACGAAGAGTAGTAGTGTATCATGTGACTCCCCACGGCCCGGCAATCTACAATTTCAAAGAACCAATCCTTAAACGCTAGTGCTTGGTGCGGACGTGCATGCGACCGCAGCGTCGTGCCGGTTTTCGGTAAAAAATGTCCAAACCGACAGTGAAAGTGTGCTTTTAATGAGACGACGACGAAAAAAATCGTGTACCTGAAGTGTTCCTAAAAGAGAGACCAAAAATGTGCAGGTTTGCGGTTGTAGCTTGTGCGCTTTTACTAGTCAGTTCCGGAGACGTCCTCATACGGACCGCCGATTCTTCGTGTAAGTTGTAGCTAGGAAAGATGGGGTTTTCGCGGCTGGCGGAGAAATTTCAACGAGCGATTCGCAACAAACGACCGTAGTTTCTTGAAGATGGTGGTTGACGAAACGTTAGTCGTGAAGGAGTGTTAACCTTGCCGTGGCTCCGAATAAGAAAACAAAGAAGCGATAACAATGGCGCAATTAACCATGCTGTTGTTTTTCCCTTTTCAACTGGAATTAATTTAACATTGCGGGAAAATGGAATGTTTATCGCAGAATCGGACGTTCCGATGCAGTGCGCTGTGTAGAAAATCCCGAAAATTAATTTTTGTTCTCGACACAGTGGTTCGGTTAGTGAGAGAGCGTCAGACGCGGAAGTGACCTGACTTGACTGAGCTAATTTTGACCGTTTTGTTATACCTTCCTAGTAAAAAAGAACGAACCCGCACGTAGCCGTTCATTTCAGTCACATAAACAAACACATTAACACTTTCTCTTCATAAATGGGGTCACACATTCTTCAGAGGCGTATCAGCTTTTTTTCGAAAAACAATGAAAATAACCTCTTTCTCTTCCCAGAACTTACGGCTTAACCTTGGTGTGGTAAACACAATTTCCAACATAATTTGGTAATTGGCGAGGTAACTGTTTGTAAAACCTACATATTGTTAATTTATTGGTGTCCTTTTGAGTATTTAGCGTTTCTTACAACACTGATGTTACAAGACCGACAAAATGCAAAACACACCATGTAGGGTTAACGTTTCACCATTTTCAATATCAAAAGCGTATTAAAAACATTAGTGGCTTAATGCGTGCTGTAAATGGTCTTCTATTGCATTTTAAAGATATTTAAATGCGCCAACAAGGTCCGACCATACCCTCACTTTTCTTGGGTACTTTAAATTAACTCATGAATAGAATACCTTACATAATTTTCATGACTTTAAAATTAACAAATATGAGCGCGATCTTACAAATTAAAACAAAAAGAAGAAACTCTTTGTGAAGGAAATTTCTCGTGGCTGATCAGAGACGACCGGTTGCTGACGTCAAAGCCACCAAATTTAAAATGATTAGTTTCTTTGTAATATTTAAAAATGAAAATGAATATTTATTTTTTTCACTTTACGTATTCAGTAAAAACATTTCATATAATTATTACTTGCGGGAAACAGCGTCACCTCAGTCGATGAAGAAGCAAAAATTTGCATGTGTTCAAAGTACGGTGGAAAATAGTTGACATTGACACATGTACTACACGTAAAATAAACTTCAGAAAATATGGTACATCATTTAAAATTTTATACCGTTAAAATTATTCCTATCATGCGTCAGGAATAGCTGATAATATGTGAAAAATTAACTGTTAGATGTCTTGTAATTACCATTTTTAGGCCGACAAAACTTTAATCAATGATAAAAATTGAGTAGAAAAGACACAGAACTTTAAAACCAAAACAAAAAGTATGGCTATACCTAAAATGAAAATGTTAATAGTTTTTGCCGTTTTGTCAATGTTTGAAACTGATTCACAACATAGTAAAATCCTTCAGACGGATAAAAACAAATAAGCATAATTGATATGTAAAGGTCAAATTAAAACCATTTCTGTTATAGATAATAATAAGTTTATTGGAAAAAAACTTATACCGAATAACTGCAGCAGATTTGTTTTCTTAATCTGAGGATTCGTTAATTTAAGCAAAACAGTTGATCGTACACAACTTTTTCATTTATTTATTTATATGTTTTAGTCTAACGTCAAATTATAGGTACAAGGAAACGATGTATCCGTATGGTAATAAAACGTTTGCAGCTGCTGACCCTGCGGTCCCAAAACTGGGTTAATTCCGTCGATTTCGAAACCCGCGTCTAAAGTTAGCCCCCTCAGTTGCGTTTAGATAAGAAACGGTCCTCGAAATAAGCCCAAAACCACACGGTCCTCGCCATGCGGAAATTTTCTTCCAAACAAGCGATAAATAATGTCCAATTTAGTCTTTCGATAACAATAACCCATCATGTTATCGCCAGTATTTACTTGAAACGTTTACAGGGGTTATCGTTAATAGTTCACATAACAGTGTTCTTGTCTAATGGTGCTGTTTTAATGGTTTCACAGTGTCGACGCAAAAACTCGTCTAGGAAACTCTGACGTAGCCATAATCAAATAAACTCAAGGAAAGAAATTCGAACGTACGAGTCAATAACAGAGTCGAGAAAAAATTCATACAAGGGTCACAACACTCGTGAAAGGTGAACTTGTCATTACGGTTTAATTCGCCCAATTATTTTAATTCGCCTTTAGAATTAGAAGTGACCTAATAATGGTTTTGTTTTCGTGAAGACCGAATGTTTGGCTGGTTAATCAAAAAGTTAACTTTCGATAGGGAAAAGGTCAAAAGCCATGCGATACTCCAGAAAAAATAAAACGAGTTTGCTGGTACTCGTTTAGAATTTTATGCGTTTTTTAATGGCAGCTAGCAAGTGGTATTTAGCTGGCGCTTCGGGCTTCTAATCAACTTTAGCCCCCGACGTTTGTCTGCTTCCTTTTTGCTTCCTTTATCGAAACGTGTCGTTTACCTACGTTATCTGTCAAGTGCCATTTTATGACGAACAACGTGTTGATTATGTTCGATGGCCTCAATTTCGTTATCGAAACAAAAAAAATTCACGTTTTAGCTTAATGAGCTATCATAGAGCGCATATTATTGTAACCTTGTCCGCCTAATAAATAACAAGAGGCGGCCGCCGACGTGTTCGCGCCAACTTCAAATTTCCCTCGAAATTGGCAAAATTCGAGATCCGTTACACTTTTTAGCGATGCGCCGTGCTCACGGATGAGTTCGTCCGGTTACGCAAAACCGGAAAGGTTGTTAAATAATGGCGATTCCTTGTCGGTTGGCTAACGTACCAAGTTCTAATTTAACGTGGGGTCCTTGACAGGTACCGCACGTTTCGTCTACTTCTTTTAGCAACTCTTCAAATTTCATCGTTGCTGCTTTCGCACGTCATTTTATTGTTAAATTATCTTTAGCTAAGTAGTCCGTAGCGGTAGTACTAACGGAACGCACAACGTGTAATTTACTCGATTCTGCCGGGTCAAAATGGTCCTGATTTACGACGTTGTTTTCGATTTCGCGCAGTGTTTTTCCTGCAATTATCCAATAAAAACCTGATTCGTCATAATTGAATTGCAAATCGCGTTCAGCACCATTGAGTTTCCTTCTGAATGCAAAATTCTCGCACACACATGATTTTCAGAGCTAACGAGAGTACCAGCTTTCACTCTATTTTTAGACTGTATTTTTCTCATTAGTGTCGTTAAACTTGTCCAATTATCGGTTTACGCAACCGTCGAACTTGAATCGAACAGAAAGAGGTCCGAGGAGAGGTACCGCCGTCGGTACTACGCACCCGATCGCGACAAACGACGCAAATTTTACTTTCTATTTGACACCGACACTTTTTGTGTGCGTCCTTGGAGAGCTTTCCATTAATTCTAATCAGCACGAGCAAACAATGGCAGCAGCAACGAGAAAAATACAAATACTCGTTAGTACATAAATAATAGTTCCCGTAAATGAGTCATAAAATGCGAAAACACGCACTCGCTGAAAAACACGTAACGAGCGACAAAACAAAAATCGCTACGAAGGCCGACAACCAAAACGAAAATCAGATCAGGTCAATAACTCAGCCTTCGCGAGAGCGTTTTTCGAAAATACTAGAACAAAGAAGTCGTCAAAACACCATCGGGATGCGAATTAATTTCCTCGACCGGTTCGAGATGTCCGTTCTAAAATTAGAAGAACTAACGAGTGACAAACGCTTCCAGTAACGAAGTCGGTGGGCGTTTCTCTACTCGGACACCTCATCAACAAGTGTTCACGTCCACGAAACTCCTCGCACGTATTTTGCCTCCAGGCGACGACGTCCAACTTAAATTAAAACCACCATATGCTTAGACCGACCAGGCGGTAGCAGCGGTCCTGTAGTGGCACCCTGAGGAACTCTAGGTACTCCATACGCGAGCAGCACCTCTGCAGCGTCCTAAAACCCGTATCGAAGCATCCACTTGTAGCGTTAGTGCGTCGCGAAACCTATTCTAAAATAGTGATGGTCCTGTAGCAGTACCCTGCGATTCTTTCGTTTGTTAGGTATCGGCATTCCGAAACCCGTACACGAACAATGAGGGGCCTTCGGCGCCCCCCTGCGTCCCTCGTGAGCCTCATCGGCATGTCTTTGTTCCAGTGATCAGCGCCAGCACGGAGCTATGCGGCAGCGACACAGAAATAGAATTGACCAAATCGGGGGAGACATCAACCATGACGGTCACGTTGGCACCCATCGAACACAACAGCATCTGCAAAATGCGCGTGACGGCGCCGTCGACGCACGTGATTTACATGCAGTTCGTGGAGCCCAGCCAGGAGGTGAAGCGGGCGCTCATGCTCAACAGTTCCGGTACCGCGCACCCCCCCTGCGTGATGAGCATCGTAAGTTGAGCCCTGGGTACTTAACCCGCGTTAACCCGAAAGCTAGTTTCTGCCAGAGAACACGCGCCTGCCGGTCTGGAAGGGCGACCCTTGCTCCGACAACGCCCTCACCGAGGTGGACTTGCTCACCTCCGACTTCAAAATCGTGTGGAACCCGCCGACCGACCCGTCCTTCACTCGAGGAAGAAAATTCGTCTTGACGGCAGTGGGACAAGGTGAGTCGGAGAGGGTTTTTTTCGATTTTTGTTAATCGACGGTCGAGCAGGTCAGGTGTGCAAGGAAGAGGGGCAGCACACGTGCATGAGGATCGGGTGGGACCCCATGATGTGCGTGGCGGACACGCTGCTGTGCAACGGCTTCCCGAACTGCCCGAAGAGTTCCACGACGAGCGACGAAGACGAGAAGCTGTGCAAGAAGAGTTTCTTCGCGCCGACGTCGCTGGAGCAGCTGGCGGTTGAGCTGTTCAAGAAGTGGAAGCCGCCGGATCTGGGTACTAACCTGAGCAACAATAAGTGGCTGCACGATAAGCTGGAACAACACGCAGCGTCGTCGACGTCCCGGGCGTTTAACAGCTGGAGGGAGTGGAGGGAAACGAGGACCGAAAGTAAGTTCAGGAAAGGAGACTTGACGTTTTTAACGGGAAGGGTTGCAGGTACGACTTCCACCACCACGACGGAGAGGTCCAACGCGCCCAAGAGGCCGCCGAAAGCGACCGACTCCATTTCGCAGGTCCTGTCGAAGTACGGGCCCTGGGGCTACCTGATGCTCGGGATGCTCATCTGCGGCACAGTGCTCATGTTCTGTGGTCTGTGGGAGTGCTGTTTCCGAAAACCAAAGACCGATATCGAACCCCCGGTGTCGCCCACTCAGCCGACGACGGTGCTGATCATCAATCCACAGGAAGAAGTGGCTCCTAGTCCTCCCAATTACGACGATTTGGATCAGCCGCCGTCGTACAGCATTCTGTTTCCCAATTTCAAAGTGAACCAAAATCCTAGTGATAGTGGACAAAGCGCGGCTCGCGCGACAGACGCTTGCGACCGAGTGCAAAACGAGAATGACTCTAGTGAACCAACCGAGAGCGAGAGCAACTCTAGCGATCACACGCAACAAGAGAATACACAAAACGGCGATGAAACGTGAGATTTTCGTCAGCTTTAGTAAGAAATTGTGATAATAAATTCTCGACTGACTTTACTATATTTAAAATGTTATTTTTTTTTAATAAACTTTGTCACAAGTTCGCGTTTATTTTTAATCCCACGTTTGTATCAAAGTAGACGCACAGGTCGAAACGTCATCGGAAATTCATGTCATCGAAAACCAAAAAAGGGAAGAAGAAAACCAAAACCGTCAGCGATGTGACCAAGAGCAAAGACGCCCTCGCGAATAAAAAAATTTACACTTATTTTAACAATGACGAGATCGCCGAGATCAAATCCATAATGAAAATGAAGGACGTGGTAAGGGCAACGTTTACGTTAAACCAGAAATGAATCGTCGGGTCGCCCAGACGGGAGTTCCTTTTGTTATAGCGGCTACGTTTCTCTACAAATTCGACGTGCTAAAGAAGCTTCTCAAAGACGGCTACAACGTGAACCAAACCGGTCAGGTAAATCCTTACACTTTTCCAAAACGCCCCTAATCTTCTTCTAGAACAACATGACGGCTCTGATGTGGGCCGTTAAATACAAATACATAGACATCGTCGACTACTTGCTCAACAACGGTGCAGATCCCACGATCAAGACGGACAGCGGCGACAACGTCTTGATCCTGGCTCTAGAGCACAAACTCTGGGACGAGCAGTCGATGATTAACCTGTGGAAGTCCGTGAAGCGCGTAAGCTTCATCGACGTGAACTTCACTAACAAGAACGGCCACAACATGCTCCACATGTGCGTCCGAAGAGACTGGGAGGAGCTCCTCAAGCTCCTCCTCACGGAAAAGGTATTCCGACAAAACCGCCAAATCCCGCCTAATCGAACCTTCAAGCCCAACATAGACTCGGGCAACTCCAACGGGGTCACGCCCCTCATGCTAGCTTGCTTCCGCAACAACATCAACATCATCAACATCCTAATAGACGCAGGCGCGGATATTCTCAAAGAGGACAACCACGGAAGGATGACCTTATGCTACGCCATCTCCTCGCTGGTGAAGATCAGCAAGCCCCCGTTTCTGGCGACCGACAAAATCATAACCGAACTTCGAAAGAAATCCCTTCTAGATACGTACCTCAAGCGACGGCTAGAGCTGATAATAGCTACAGCAAAGAAAAACGAAATTTCTTGCGCAACGTCGGAGATGCTAATCAAAATCATACAATTTGCCGTGCAATTTATTAAGGAAGGCATTTGCATATTTTTAGAATGCGACGTGTTTGCGCAACTGTTAGAGGTGATCGGTGGAATTTTGATAGGTTCGATGAGTAAACGTTGTTGTTTAAGATTCTCGAGACGCGATTGGACAATGCTTCTGTCCTCAAATTCCTCGTAGAAGTGTGCGAAGAACTCCTCTTCTACAACGAACAAAGCGTGGGTTACAAACCCGAAGTGTACAACAAAATGCTGGAAGACTTTTTCAAAAGCGGCTTCGTCGACGTCGTTCTGGAAATCATCCACAACGACACCGAAGAAGCTAAAGTTGCGATCAATCTCATAGTTCTGGGCTTCGTGAATGACGAGCGCTGGGAGAAGGTTCTCGAGAAGAACTGCACCGTGATTCTAGGGTACATGAACGACAACCAAACGGTCACGCAGGACGAAACTCAAGCAAAAATCGTAGCCTCTCTAACCTTGTCATTCTTAAACTAATTGTTTTCTTTAGCTCAAGAACAAGAAACGCAAACTGAAGAAAGTCTTCGAGAGTTTGGACGTTCCCGTGCTAGCGTCAGACTCCACGGAGAAACTCGAAGACCGCAAAAAGAGCGACAGCAGCGTCAACAACTCGAAGAAGTCGCGACGTCGTTCTAAAGCCATAAAGGCAAAACTGTCGAAAATGAAGAGTGCCGAACTTAGCAAAAGGTTGAATCTCAGCGGAAAAAAACTCAACCAAGCGAAACCGTCCAAGTTGCAAGCCAGCAAGAGCGAATCCTTCGAAGAAATCGAGTTTCTGTTAAAGCCGGAGGAGAAATTCCAAACCGAGAACCCTATAGCGGCTTCGTTCCAGTATTTGTTAGATAACGAAATCGACAACGGCGACAAAAAGTCAGACCGGGAGGTGTACCCGAAATGGAAGAAACAAATCGCGAGTTTGTCGCACGTGGACTCTTGCAAAAACTTATCCATCGATCAAGAGAAACTCTTCCACTGCATAAATCACTTGAAGGAGTCTTCTTCGAGTCACAAGTTTGATCCCACGATCAACCGATCCGTCAACGTGGTCATCGATTACTTGCGTCAGTTGGTACAGATGATCGTCCGCAAGTACCGCGAACATTGGGAGAGCGATCGGATGACCGGAAACTGCAACTGCATGGAGCTTAACGAACACGTCCCTTGGTTGTTCAATCGCCACGTCAAAACTCTAGAAGCCCGAGAAAAGCAAGTCATCCAAGAAATGCAAACGAATTTCGACCAATTGCTTAAATCCGTCAAAGATTTAGCTCACAAGGATCTTAATCGGTGTCTCCAGTCGCTGTACAAACTCGAAGCCACCGTTCTCAATTACGAAATCCGCGGGATCAAAGTTCTCTCTTACGTGTGCGGAATAGAGAACTTTGCTATGCGTTATTCGACGACGAATACGAAGTTTGACGATAACACCGTGGTCGAGTATGTTCAAAACGTGGTTAACGATCTCGAGGATCCTCGGACGGACGTAGAAGTTGAAGTGATGGACGACGTGGACGACGTTTCCTTCACGGAAACGTACAAGTCTGAAACTCCCGTGGAGCTCTACTATCGAGAAATGTCGTTGGTTGGGAAACGCGGACCTAGAAACAAGCGTAAGGAGATCGAGGCCAAACTCAACACCATCGCAAACGGCTTCCACTTGATTAACTCGATCATGTCGGTTTGCGACGAAGTGGAAGACGGTAATAACCACCAAAAGTACGGCATCTCTGACCTCAATCATCCTTTACGGAACAAGTACCAGAAGACGCTTCACTACTCGGAGATTTCTGAATACATGCCGAAGCGTCTCAAGTCGCAAATCTCGAGCTTACAGAATCTAAAAACTTTCCAGAAGTTACTAGAGGGTGAGATTCGCATCGCTACCAAGGAGCAAAGGGTCAATTATATAATCTCCGCTGGGATAAATTTCAACGCGGTCGAGTTGGGTCTGGACATCAACAACCAACCTTTAGCCGTTAAAAGAATTCCTCGGGAGAGCTGGGTGGGAAAGATCATTAAAACCCTCGTCGATCCTTTAGTGGGACTGATCGATAACCACATCCTCCACTACTTCGCCTGCGAATACGAAGGCAACGAACTAATTCTCGCTACGCCCTTATGTAAATGGACCATAGCTCAGTACGTGCAACTTTTGCGACAAAGCAGTGCCACGACCATGCCCGGACTGACGGCAGTCCAAATCGTCAAGCAGTTTCTGGACGGCCTCATGGTACTACACAAGTGCGACATCCCCATAGTTCACGGGAACCTCAAGCCGTCGAACATTTTCATCGACTTTAACGGGCTGGTGAAGATTGCCGAGTTTGGTATACACAAGGTACTGACGCTCTCCGGGTCGTACTCCGTTAACCGTACCGTTCTAGGCATTGTACAAAATTATCGAAGCTCCAAAAAGTTCGCTGATTTGGTTCGCCAAAGAAACCTTAGACATCTACAAGAACAGCTCCATCGTGGAGTGTTCGCTCAAGTCCGACATTCAAGTCGCCGGTATGCTGACATACTTCGTGCTCACGCACGGCAAGCACCCGTTCGGAGACGACACGGAAGAAATTTTGAAAAACATTCAACGCGGTATTCCGAAATTGAATGCGCGAAATCTGGATTTGAGGGATTTGCTCTTGTGGATGATGCTCAATGACTTTAACGAACGTCCGAACATCGAACAAGTTTTGTCGTATGTGTATACATAATTCGAAGGTACTACTAAACGTCGATTGATTTTTTCTTGCAGGCATACGTTCTTTTGGTCTCCTTCTAAGAAATGGAGTTTTGTTTTGTGCTGCGCCGGCGTAAACCAGACTGGGTACGTTTTGCCCATCAACGTCGAGAAGCTTCATAGGAGCATCGACACGTTCTGTGACGCGTACATCAAGATCGACTGGCACGAGGTCGTCGGCAACAAGTTTCCCGCTCTCAGGATCACCGAGAATAATAGTCTCGTCGGTTTGTTAAAATTCATAAAGAACTGTCACGACCATCAGCTCGACACAAACATATCTGACGCGGAAATGAGCTGCGCCATTTTATTTCTCTTCCCAACGCTTCCTGTAGCTTTATATAGGACGTTGCAGAACACGAACTGGCTCAAGAATGCCGTTTTTATGCCATTTTCTGAACTATTCTGAGCATTTTATCTATACTTTGCCATTGTGATATTTTCGTGTGGTTTATTTAAAATAAAACGAGTTTGTATTAATCGCTTTATTGTTATTTTTAGAGATTGGTCAACGGCAATGCATACGTAAATATGTAATAATTATAATCGAAAGCAAAGCGCTTAGCCACTATCAATTAAAATTGGATGAGATTCTTGCTGATGTCCGTTTCCCGCCAATATATTAAGGCAAGTCGACTTTTGGCGGAAAACTTCACATATTCGAGAAAAAATGCAATAACAACTTTATCTATCGTAAATAGCGTAATCTATAAATAAATAAGTGTGTATAAGAGATCCACGTAAAAGCATAATTTGGTTATATTCTTTGGTCTACTCCCTACAAATAAACTCTGGCAACTAAAAAAACCAAAAAGAAAATAGTACGTACAACATAGTATAAATAAATGCTTCTCATATCTACTTCGTTAAATATTTATCACCTCTTTTAAAGCTCTTGATTAAAGCAAAAATCGAGATCATATGACCACAGCCCCCGCCTCCGCCCTCGTCTCCGACAAAGGCGGACACTCCGCCCACGAATTCGTTATAGGATCGAAGCACTCCACCGACGAAATGGTGCACTGTGCTCTGTAGAAGGGCGTGGCGTGCGTCTGCGCCCCGCCTATCACGTACAGCAGCCCATCCATCGCGGCCACGGCCGGACCACTCCTCTCCACCGACATGGGCGGGACCGTGCTCCACTTATTCTAAAACATCGCAAGTCACTCCCACTCCCCCTTTCTCGCACCGCCTCTCACCGTCTTAAACGAGTATCTCTCCACCGAATTCAGCACCTGCTGACGATTGGTGCCCCCCACCACGTACAAATAGTCGTCCAAAACGGCGACGCCCATCTGAAACCTCGCCACCGACATCGACGGGAGCTTCTTCCACTCCCCGGAGAAAGGGTTGTAGCTCATGAGGTCCTGGAGATTCCGCTGGTTGAGGGAGCAGCCGCCCACCATGTAAATGAGGCCTGTTTTGGGTTGAGGGGACGCTCTCGCATATGCACTTACCTTCATAAGAGACCAGCCCCATGCTGAACCTGGGTTCCGGGAGGCTCCCCACCAGTCGCCATTCGTCGATTTTCGGGTCGTAGCGCTCGATCGAGCCGCTTATGTCGGTGTCCACCCAGCCGCCCATTGCGTACAAGTAGCCGTCGAGGGCGCACAGTCCGAACTCGCACCTGGAGACCACCATGCTGGCGACCTGCGTCCACTGGTTGGTCTGGGGTTCGAAGCGCTCGCAGCTAGAGAGGATCGACGAACCCTCTTCGCCGCCGACGACGTAGATGTGGCCGTTGAGTGCGGCAACGCCCGGGACGAGTCTGTTCACAGTCATGTCGGGCACTTTGTTCCATTCTCTGCTGAAAGTGTTGAACTTTTCGACCGAAACGTAATTCATTTCTAGGCCTCTGTCCCAAACGCTGTGGAGTTCGCGTTTCGAACCGCCGATCACGTATATATCTTTTTTGGCACATTTTCGAGGGGCCACGTTCAAGGGGACTAAGCAACCTTTCCTGTTGAGGAGATCGCTGTGGATTGACTTGAGAGCGACCCTCAAGCTGCTGTCGTTACACTGGGTTATGGCACGTTCTAGCAAACCTGCTCAAAAAAATAATAGAATTTGAAAGGTAGGCGCGTGAGGGTCGATTACCGAGCGGTAAAAGGGGTAGTCGGACGTTTTTCAAGATGTCGAAGACGTACTGACGCCGACCGAGAATGTCGTGGTTGATCCACCGCAACGCAGCTTGAAAAACTTGAAATTCAGAGTCGATTTTTAAATTCTCAGACGAGAGGAATTTGATTATGGTGTCTTTGTGCAAATCGTAGACTTCGTCCTCTTTGCATACTTTGGGGAAATTGTTTTCTATGTATTGGACGGATGCCGTTTTCAACTCCGTCCAGTTGTGGTCGTCGGCAAATCTAAATGCGACAAAAAGGGGATCATGGTCTTATCGTTGACCCAATTTACAGTTTCTAAATGCTATTCCAGTGACAGAAAACGACCGAATTTAAAATAACTCTTTTCTGCAACAAAAACGCGGTCATTGATAGTGATATCAAGTCAACCAAGTGAACAATATCCAATTTTTGTGTAGCGAAAACACAACCTGCCAGTAAAATTATCAGAAAAATAACACAGACTTTAGTAACACATGGGCATCAATATTTTTCCAATATATTTAACGACTATTGAAAAAAAGAGAGAATTTTTAGGTCTAGATTTCATACCATTTTTTCCCATTAAATTTAATACCACATTTGTTACCTATAAATTCCAATGGCATTCAGAGGATGCAATTCCTTAATCAAGAACTCTGTGCATCCCAATACAATTTCGCTCAGGCCCACCATATCTGCCGCAATCATCAACTCTTGCACGTTGTTCTGCGTAATATTAACCTCCCCAGAATAAATAAAATTTAATAAAATGTCAAAAATACAAGACGAAATTCCATGCAGTTCCACGGAATGTTGGTCTTTCTCGCATAACCCCCCTGTAAACATGGCTTGAAAGTATGGACTGCTGGCAGCAAGGACGGCACGATGGGCCTACAATACAATACAATAATTAACCAAAATTCTGCAGACACAAACTTTTTCCTACCTGAAAAATTTTATCCTCGGCAATAATCTCTACATCGCAAAACCTGTTGTTCCTTCTCAACTCGTTCAAGTTGCCCAACACTTTCGAGATGTAGTTCCGGCAAGTGTGCTGGGTATTCCTGCTGCTGCATTCGATTGGCAGATTAGATAAGAAAATGTTGTCAGTCCTGGACTGAGCCACGTCTGACATGCACTTGCTGATCTTGAGGGGTGGCATTATAAAATCCATTAGGAATTTCATGAAGGAATATTTTCAACATTAAACAGCGTAGAGATTCGTGGCAGACACACCTTAAAGGTCGATTTGATTTAATTTATGTTACAAGGGAACGAAGTGACCACCAAACATTCAAAACACTATTTTAATACCGAATTAACCTTAAAATTAACGTTTCATTGCTGTTTTTGTTGAAATTATTCACTAATAACTAAATTGGGGCGACGGATGTCATTTACGTCAACTGTCAAAACGCTGCCAACGTAACGCAATCAACATCGAGAAAAATACTATGATAAAAATACTGTTTTTGTTTTAATTTTATTGATGAACACGGATGAACTTTTTGGTCAGTTACACACTCCTTCGGGACCTTTAAAACCATCTTTTATAATCTGCAGAACGTTATGTAAAGGGCACTTGTTTTAAACAAAAAAAAAAAAAGAACTAGAAAATGCATTTTAAAGATTATCATCGATTATTTTCAGAAGATAAGAAAGTGCATTCATTAAAAGAACTTCTTTTCCTGACCAACCTAACAAATTAACAATAACAAAACTCAAACTAAAGCTGCTAAAGCTGTCATATTGTGTTGATTTAAGGTTATTAATAATTATTTTTCTTTCCCAATTTTTTTTTTTAAGTGCAAATAGTGCCTTTGACCGTCCAACATAACAAATAGTTATGAACGTCGAATTAGAAATCCGAAAATTACCCTTGGCAGTAAAATTCAAAATTGTGGAATATCTAGAAGAGGAAGAATCGTGGAAAAAACTCATGTCTATTATTCCGTGCTTCCTAACTAACGATTACCAGTGCGACATATCGTTAAATAACCCCCCAAAATATCAGTCACAGCATTTCCAGTAAGTCGGTACTACAAACACTGTTCAGTTTTTAAAAAAAAATGGCAAACTGCTTACAGCATAATACAAAACGCGTCGAACCTGTTAAAACGCTTCTGCTCAGAAATTCTGTTGAGAGAATGGGGCACATCAGGACAAATTCGGCCTACCTTGGGTCACTTGAAATACCTTTTGGAAAAAGCGCAACTCTTTGATGCCGCTGATTTCGTTACTGTTGATCTTCTTAAACAAGAGCCCACAAGACCCACTAAAGGACCAGCAGCTCCCATTGTATTGAAATTAGAGGAATTAGAAGACAACGTACCTAACAATATCCCACATTTAACTTCACTTTTAGCAAGTGATCTTTTAAACAGTGAATATGAAATCCATTTTTCAAGCAACAATAATAATTCAGAAAAGTGCAACTGTAGACCTAATATTTACTGGAGAAATTAATATTTACAAATAAAAAATTGTGAGAGGTGTCTTTGTCAAAATGAAATGATCTAAGCTGTAATATGTTGCTTTAATAAGTATTTCATATAATTTTGGATTGAATACAGCAGCCAAAAATCGTCCCAGCAAAGTAGGCAACCATCCATTTATTTTGTTTATGCACCCAACAATACTCTGCTTCTAGACACAATGCATCCGTTTTGCTGGTTGCATAACATTCAGTTACCAAGTCTAACAACGGTTGGCAACTCGGTGACAACCTAACATTCTAACATAACCCTCGACGTGGTGACTTGAACAATTTGAGGTTATTGACAATTTTTATTTTCTAATTTGTTTTTAGATACAAATAGTGCCTTCTAACCGTCCAATATAATAATAATAGTAATGAATATAAACTTAGAAATCCGAAAATTACCTTTGGCAGAAAAATCCAGAATTGTTGAATATCTGGAGGAGGAAGAATCCTGGAAAAAACTGATGTCGATCATTCCTTCCACCTTAACTGAGGATTATCGGAGCGATATATCGCTAAACAATCCTCCAAAATATCGATCGGAACATTTCCAGTAAGTAAAAATAATTTCGCGTCTTTCAAAAATAACAAACTGCTTCCAGTATTATACAAAACGCGTCAAATTTGACGAAACGGTTCTGTTCGGAGATTTTGTTGAGGGAATGGGCGACATCGGGAAGAATTCGGCCTGCGTTGGGCCACTTGAAATACCTCTTGGAAAAGGCGCAACTTTTTCATGCCGCTGATTTCGTCACTGTTGATCTTCTCAAACAACAGAAAACCAGGCCCACTAAAGGACCAGGAGCTCCAATTGTCCTAAACTCAGAGGAAATAGAAGACAGCGAAACAAAACGAATTGAAAAAATGTTGGACGCTATTAATTACCCAAGTTCAGCAATCGAAAATATCTGTAAACAAAATTCAGTTGACACAAATCTCAACTATACAACCAAAGAGGTACCAAAAATGATACCAAAAATTGTTATTAGCGAATCTCCTGAAGTTGAAGAGGCAAAACCCACATTTAACGTCCCAGTGGTTGTTCAGAACGAAAGAAATAAGTCTGAGTCAGATTTAATTAAATTTTCTAAAAGTTTAGTTGAAAGTGATAATAACGTGCCTAACAAGATCCCAGATTTGACTTCGCTTTTAGAAAGTTGTCCTTCAAACAGTGAACATGGAAGCAGTTCATCCAACAATATACCTCTAGTTGTTGAAGATATAAGTGAAGACAGCTCTAGCGACAATATTCACCCTAACATATCTTCACTTTTGGGTAATTCAAGCGAGGTGATTATTCCAGCTCTGAGTGACTTGAGTCCAGAAAGTTCGATGTCTTCTTCTTCGAATTTTCCAGCTTTAAGCCACCTTTTGGGAGGTTCGGACTCTATCGCAAACAAAACGCGTTCTTGTGCATCGCCTTTACCTAATTTGTCTTTAAATACCCCTTTACCACACTTCACTTATGCTCAGTTAGAAAACGCCACCTGTAAATTCGATCAAATTCCTTTAATTGAGGGTGGGAGGTTTCTAGGTTCTGGTAGTTTTGGCCAAGTTTATTTGGCTAAAGATTTGTTCAATCAACCAGTGGCTGTCAAAAGACTGACTCTGGAGAATGCTGAGGTTGTACAGATTGATGATAGGGTAACTAAGCAGTTTATAACAGAAGTGGAGATCCTGAGCAAATACAAGCATGAGAATTTAGTATCTTTATTGGGTTACTCGTGTGACGGTTTGACGTACTGTTTAGTCTATGAGTATGTGGTTGGAGGAGCCTTAAAAGATCGCCTGGAGGTTGTCATTGTAGTAATTTGTCATACAATTTATTTATTTTATTTTGTATTGTAGAAAAAAGAATTAATCTGGACGGAAAGGCTATACATTGCTTTAGGTACAGCGAGGGCTATTGCATATTTACATACGGCATATTCTACACCTTTAATTCACAGGGACGTGAAAAGTGCAAATATTTTGTTGGATGTTACCAACAAGCCAAAGGTAGCATTAAAATTAGGCTCAGAGGCGACCACGACACAAGTGCGAGTAGTTCAAGTATTTCGTGGTCGCCTAGGAGCACTACTTTGTTTGACGCAAATTACACTTTTACCTTATTCCAGTTGTGTGACTTTGGATTGATCAAACATTCTTTAAATCAGAGTACAAACACGGTCACCACGATCATAGGAACTTCTGCTTATATGGCTCCAGAAGCTTTCAGGTACTTTCATCGTTTACTTGTTTTGTCGTGTTCCTCCAAATTTTTGATTTTATTTTAGAGGTGACGTATCGCCAAAGCTAGACACATTTAGTTTTGGGGTTGTTTTACTCGAGCTTTTAACATCTAAACCACCAATGGATGATAATAGAGAAGGAAAAGATCTGGTTAGTTAGTGATAATGTAAGTAACTTCTTTTATAATTTGTTTATTTTAGGTAACACACGTGGATGACACTTGCAGTGATGACATAACGCCCTTGTTAGATGTGTCAGTCGGTTCTTGGTCTGCTAACGAAATAAATTTTGGGCAGAAATTATACGAAATTGCCCAAAGTTGTTTGCAGGAAAAAAAGCAAAGACCTTTGATGGCTTCAGTTTGTAGTAATTTGGGCGAACTTATTGAAAAATCTGCATGAAGCAAGGCAAGAAATGAATGCCATTTTCAACGAGGAAGAGAAGAGAATCAAATAAACCTTTAACTTGATCGTGATGAACCTTAATATATCTTTGTATATAGTTTTCCAGGCTTTTGCAATGTATATACAGTATTGTTTATTTTAAAGAAGAATATATATTTTATACATAATTAAAATTATTCCTTAGTCGAAAATATGCTGTTCATGAATTGATTCGTCCGATTACGTGATTACGTAACTGGCAGAAAAAGGTCACCTAACATACTTCAGTAAGAAGGGTTTAATAAATAAATTTTGCAAAAAACACGAGATTAATATTCAATTTAAATTCAAAAAGAATTTTGAATTTCAGCTAAAATTGTTGCTAATTTTGAATGACATATTTATGGTTGTTTTTTTTGTCAATGACCTGCATCAAAAAATATTTTGCATTCTTCGTTATAAAACTCTCAAAACGTAGAATTTATCGAGTGTCCAAAACCGCCTCCGAGTGTCTCGTTTTTCTCCGATCAAATTAATCAAAATAACAACTTTCTCAATATCAAGTTCCACGGGGCGTGAAGTTCTTTCCGCCCACTCCCTTAATTAGACGCGGGCGAAACATCCAAATCCCCGATACCTGTGTGTTCCTCCACATCCCATCATTTTCTGCGTTGAAATTAGCAAAAAGCAATTTGGCGGCGGTTTCTTTGCAAAAACCCGCCCCCACCTCACATTTGACATTTCGCATGTACCTAATCCAAGATGTGCACCCAATGGGTCAGAGGGGGCAGAATACGAAAGCCCGGCGCGCCCACGTCGGACCCCGCCCACACACCCACGCTTCATTCATGCGGCCCGGGCCAAACTCCTGCATCCTGCAAACCGCCCACGCTCCACTTTCTCGCGTACTCACTCCCTTTTCCTGCAACGGCAGGACGGAGTGCATGAACTCGGGAAGAAAATGGTGGATGCGCCGGGAGACTAGACTTTCTTATTTTTCTTCTACATCTTTTTGGGTTTTTCGCCTCGCGCGATCGATTCTTTGCGAATTTCACAGAAACTTGAGTCGGAGGCGCGCTTTGGGCGGATCGGAGCCGAAGAAGGCAGCACGTGAAGCGGGGTGGTCCGAGGGTCGCAGGCCGAAGGAGGCTCGCTCGTGCCGGAATTGTTAATAAAACAACCACAAATGGCAAAACGTTTTATTTTTATAAAAAAGTGGTTTGCACTTACAAATTTATAAATCAGTCAAAAATTAACAATACGGATAACATGTAAGAAAATCGTTGGTTTCTTTCTGAATGCGGTAACTAGATCGGGCAACCTTAGTACACGTTTTCCTTTAAAATTAGGCTTTCGCGTTAGAAAAAGATAGCTTCTTCCGCTATTTCGTGGTCTCGAAGTGAGGCGTTTGTTTAAAATTGTCCGATTTTCTCAGAAGACTTCCGTTTTATGGCTTACGTGAATAAAATTTCGCCGAATTTGTTTTATTCCGACGACAGGGAACGTCATCCGCAACCATTACGATTTTTACATTCAAATTTTAATACCAGCTAAAAAATTAATCGCGGTTTTGAAAATCGTTACGAACAATTAGACGGCGTCTTGCTTGGAAGTGCACAAAAATTTACAAATATGCTACATATTTTTTGGCCTTCAAGTCATTTGCTAAAAAACGCTTCGCCCCTTTTAGACTACAAAGTATCGGTTTTAATTTAAGCCGAAACGTGGCTTTCTACCCTCTTAAACTTAACACTCTCCAAATGTTATCGTAAGCTGAAGTGCATTTTCCGGCCCCCGTACCTCTGCTTGCTATTTCGTAATTATGATCGTCCCTCGTTTCGTCTAATCGATACTTCTTCAGTAACCCGAATTGAATTGCAGCTCCTTTATAATCCGCATATTGTGGATGCACCCGATCTTTACGCAGTGATTTAATGGAGCTTTAAATGTGGGCGTCCGTTCCGAGTAGTACAGAGGTCGTGTCATTTCAGCTCATTGTGGGCGTTAACTGGTGTTGTTTCGTGGGACCAATATGAATGCTTTTTGTTTTTCTAACTTTTTTTTATTCGTTACTGTTTGGTTTTTTTTTAGAGTGGAAGTGGGTAAGTGGGACGTTTTGATGAAATTGTACATAATGGATATTGATCGTGGGTAAGGAAGCTTTTTTATGTTTGAAAATAAAATAAATATGTGTAGGACTTAAGGGATGAACGTTTGATTTTTGCGGTAGGGTGGGCGATCCATCTTCTGTATGCGATAAAATGTAGGTGAGGTCGGTGAATATTGATGTAGGGAAAATGATTGAATTTTAATGGGGAGGAAAATCGATGTTTTTTTAACACAATAATTGGAGGAATTTAGGGGAAATCGGGCAGGAAGGTCGTGGGCGGCACGAAACAGAGTTCCTTCAAACTGAAATTATTATAAACGAAAAAAAGATGTAGAAAGAAGAGCGAATTTATTTTATTGGTATTTTTTAAATTTTGTTCTGCCATTTAGGCCGAATTTAGAAGAAAAGGATGAGGCAGCTCACTTTATAGTTTTTGAGATGGTCGTCTTAACGTATAGGCTAAATCGAAAAATGAATTATCTCAGCTCACTCTTTTCTGTTTTCGCTTATGCGAGATACGTCCCACAAGAAACTCGAGTATGTCTTCAGTCTTTTTATTTAGTTAGTTTTTTTTTTATTCCAGGCCGTCTAATCTAGCACATATTCGACAAATTAGGAACAAATTGTCACAGGCGTCAACACAAACTCTTGGGCACGTCCAACGATTTTTCATCATTTCTTAAACAAACAAAGATCACAATTTTTAAAAAATCGCAAAAAATCGACGACGTGTAACATGTACAAAGTTTTCGTGTTTCGCCTTTTTCCAAAATCTTAGCTAGCAAAGTAGTAAATTCCGCGGAGAACTCTTAGGCCTAACACTTTTTCGCACTCGTCGTTGATTAATTAGTTCGGTGCACGAAGTAGATAAGTGGAACATTTAATACGAAGGCGACGTCGCACACGTCCATCACACTCGGAAACACGTGTCCTTAGCACAGGTTTTTACAATCTCGATCTGTCAGACATTTGGGAGTGTCGTAGGTCGGTGCATCCAAGTACTTCTAGACAAACACAACGTGGGTCCTCTACGTAGTGCGTCGAACACGCGTTCTAGCTAACGTCGTCCAACAAAGAAACCAAACCAAGTGGACGCAATGCGAGCGTTTCTCGTACGACAGAGAGTGGCATGTCAAAAACCGCGTGGGAAGAAGACATCGTGACAACGGTGGTACAGAAAGATGCATTTAGTTTTTGTACTGTTATATTTTTTTCGACTTATAAATTTATAAGTATATAAATTACATATTCGTTTTATAAATGTAAACCAAAGAACATTATAAAATTGAATAAAACCTACTTGTTCGTTAATTTGTTTATTTGAGTAATGCAGAATAATCGAAATGATATTAATAATGATAGTAATAATAATATTAATGATAATAATAATAATAATAATCATAGAATTGTATCTAGTTAACATTAATCGTCCTATCCGAGAAAACAATGATTGAAGAACAATATAATGTACAAACGAAGAACGATGAATAATCGTGAGAGTATCGTTTCGGTATAAAACAGTGACCGAAGAATCGCCAATGGCCCTAAACGCAAAAACAACGTAGAATATGACGCGTGAAGGTGTTGAATCCCGCCGCCGCGTTAATAAATAATTCACTCGATACGACGATTACCGGCGGTTCATCGTGATGGAAGTTGTAGTGATGAAAATTATCACGTATTGCATAATAATACCGGAGGCCGAATGAATAGGTTCGCCCCTCCGCTCGGAAGTAGGGCAGTGTGCCGTCACCGGTCCTCCCCTCTGCAGGAGTCAACGACCCGGCCGCTCCCGAGCCGCCCCCCGCGCGACCGTCCACGGATTTCGCAGTGCAGTTGACCAACTTGCAACAAACATCACATAACACAAGACACGGTGCACTCGTGACGATCGATGGGGGCCCGGGTCGCCGCCCCGCCGCCGTCCCCTCCTCGGCCCAGCTGATCCACGCGGTTAAGATTAGGTGGCAGTGGTTGGTAGACTTTAGAACATTTGTTTGCAGAGGATGGACTCGACGTCGTTCGCTGGACGGGGCTCGTCCATCGACCATCAACCACACTTTTTTTTTCCTTCCCACCGCTGCGAAAAACCCCATTCCAATTATTATAATTAATTTATCTAATATAGACCTACGTTTGCTTTTCATTTCGCATGAAAAATCACCAAGTGTCCCAGTCGTTTCTGCCGCTTTCGTCACCTCTTCTGCGTCCGCCAAATATATATAATTGTACACTATATATATATTTTTATATACCTACATATATATATTCTTATCACAACATCCCGACCGTGGTGGTTCATTATGGTTAAATACAAAAACAAAAAGAGACAATTGAGCAATGTACAATCAATCAATCAATCGGTTGAACCCATTTATAAACATCTCGATAACCCTAAACAACTCGTTTTTATTATAATGCTTATATTATTAATACTTTATATAAATAATTATGAATTTTCGTGAATTTCATCTATTATTTAAATGTCCTTTCGCTAATTGTTCCTTAAAAATAATTAACTTTAAATTGGCTAGGTACTCTTACACTTGACATAATTAATTATAAAAAGTACAAAGCGTTTATAATATACGTAATAATAGTAATAATAATCTAGATGGGCCCTCCGGTGCGGCCGAACCTAAAGCCGCTTCCATCCCGGTGGCAAAATGGAGAGACGTTTCATCTTGTTTTTTTTTGTTCTTTTTTTTGTTGTTGTTGTTTAAATATTATTTTTTCCTAGCTGAACTTTTCGTAAATTACCGTCGTTCGTTATTTATGGCTTTACTCGTACAAAAAACAAAAAATCATCCAAACGAAAAACTAAATAGAGAGAGATAGAGTAATAATAATAATAATAATAATAATATTATGTATACAAGTATTTTTAACTAATAACTGATGATGATAAGAGAGTCCAGCGACGCGAACCGCGTGCTCGCGATACAATATACAAACAACCATCTAAGCGAATAGTTTTATTATTTATAAATTGTTTTACATGATTAACAAGGATACCTATACAAAACACAAATTTTTTTTTCATGTTCTTTAAGTATCGTCGGTGACTTAAAAACTCGTTTAAACGAACGAATCGAAACGCACCGATCGAGCATCGATTGTCAATCCCTATTAAACTAATTAAATATGGTGGTGGTTTGTATGAACCGTAAATTATCATTCTATTTTTTAATCGAATCATCATTTTGTTCTGATTTTGCAGATGGTTTGGTTTAAGGTTTCTCTTTTCGTGTACTCGAATGAATGAATTAATTAATTTATTATTATTAATTTTTTTTAATATTTGTTTCATTTTATCTACTTTATACTGTTTTGTTGGCAGTAATCGAACCGCACAGCTCGCTACACGGGTGAAAATTCGAGCACCATGCAAGTCAGTACGGGTCGTACGTTTACAAAGTTCACATCCGATATGTGAATATTTTGCACCATTCTTATTACTAGAAGAGTTTCTGCTTTGTGCATATGACAATTTTCGTATGGCAGTCGATAGCTGTTCTCACAGCCTGTCTTCTTCCTCTTCTTCTTCTTCGGCCTCCTCGATGACGCCCTCGTTCTCCTCCTTGTAACCGGGATGTTCGGATATCGCGTAGTAGTTGCCGTTGTAGATGACGCCCAATTCGCGCAGCACGTCGCCGCGAATCGTCGCTTTGATCGTCCAGTTGTAACAGTCGTCGCTCTCGCTCTCCCTGTCCAACCGTTCGACGTCGAGTATCTTCGAATTCAATCGCTCGAGTATGATACCGATGTCCTTGATGGTGAGATGTCTCTTCTGGTCGACGCTCAGTTGGTCGATCAGCAGCAGGAATTTTTCAGAGGTGACGGCCTCGTCCTCCATCACGGTGTTCTCCGTTTCGCTCTCGGAGCTCTCGTGTTCGGACTGCCCGCCTTGTCGGCCGCCACCTTCAACGTCTAAAAAACGCACGTGTCTCGACTGTGGCTGCGGCGAGGTCTGCTGCTGCGCGTCCTGGATCGGCGACGTGGCGACGCTCTTGTGCACGGCGATCTTACGTCCCTCCTCGTGGAGGGCGCAGCAGTGGAAGTCGCACTCGATCGCGCCGTTGCTCTGCGGGCTGCCGGCGCGCGGCATGTGCACGTGGTGGGCGCACTCCGGCGTGTGGACGTGGATGGCGGCGCCCTCGAGCGAGCCGGCCTGCTTCGGCAGCCGGTGCGCGGGCTTGACGTCGTCGTGGTTTATCACAGTGATCTGGGGGCTGGGGTAGCGCGGCTGCGGCACGTACGCGTCGTTGATCAGCGTCTCCTTCTTGACGCCGCCGCCGCCGACGAGCGACGGTCGCTTGCTCGGCGAGAACTTGCCGGGGGCGGGCGACGACGCCTCGGAGGGGGCGCGCTGCGCGCCCGAACGCTGGTCCCAGTGCAGCACGACGGTGACGCGGCCCTTGTTGTCCATTATCTTCCATGAGGGCGTCTCGTCGTGCAGCTCCAGGGCGTGGATCGTCTCGCACACGATCTTCGGGATCGCCGAGATGGCTACTAACAGACAGCGGTCTCAGTGGCGGCGCCGCGACGCGGGGCCTCGCCCCGGCTCGCGGCCCCGCCGCCGAGCTCGGCACCTACCTGCACGGATGACGTCCACGCCGGCGGGCAGCCATCGCTCGCCCGGCCGCAGCAGCAGGAGGACGGTGTTGGCCGGGAGGGTGCGGAAGTACTCGGCGTCCTCTACCTGGGTCCCGTCGCTCTCCAACACCACCCGCACCGGCTCGCCCACGGACACGCCGAGCTTGTCTCGGCCGCGCTGCACTAGCTCGTCGAGGCTCCCCACCACCAGCCCCTTGCGCACGCTACGACGCCCGTCCCATAGCTTGAAGGGTCTCTTTCCGCGGGACTCCTGCAACACACCCATCGCTCTCAATCTCAGTCCTCAATCTCTCGTTATCTAGCTAGCTATCTATCTATCTATCTATCTATCTATCTCGTCTCGACCGCCGGACCGTGCCTCTCCGTCAGTCAGTGTGCACTCGACCGCATCCCGTCCAGACCTGACCTACTCCACACACCTACCACCCTATCGCTACCACCTAGTTGCCGTTCTAGCCGCTCAAGCGCGCGCCCTCCGACACACATTCACTCGCACGCACACACACGCTCGCTCTCCTCCGCACTCTCACACACAGACACACACACAGACCCACACGCCGTTCTCCGGCTCGCAACCGACCGACCGACCGACCGACCGACACACACACACGCCATGGATGCGACCGGTCCGGTCCGGCCCGGCCCGGCCCGACCCGGCCCGGCCCCGGCACACATGCGGACCGTCGAAACGCACCGCTCGGACTCGTACCTCTCTTGCCATCACGGCATCTCTTATGGTGCGGCCGTCGTCCCGCCGCTGACCCGCGCACTCCTCCTCTATGGCACCGCCGGCACAGTCACTAGACAACGGCACCGCATATTCTCAGACCGATCCGTCTCTTTTTGTCCATTCTGAACCAAAATTCAATCGGACTATCTGTGACCCCTACAAGCAGCAACCCTGCAAACTGCCCCGACAAACGCGCCCCCTGTCGTCCGATCGATTACGTTCAAGGTGCGGCGCGGCGCCTGCCTTCGCGCATCCACACGCGCATTCTTGCCCACCACTTGACGACGACGACGACGACGACGACGGCGGCGACGACGAGTAGGCGGACGACGACAGCGGCCTGCGCCGCCTCCGTAGAACTACTCGCCCGCTTCGCCGAAACTTTCGGAGCGGGAAACGAAAGCTCGTCGGCTCCTGCGAGATGGCGGAGGCGCCGGGAACATTTGTCGGAAATTAAAAAAAAAAACCTCCAAGACACCGTTGCGACAAGAATTATTAGAGGCACGGATCTTTTCGAAAAGTCCAGCCCGTTTCGCGCAAAAATTTAAAAATCGGCAACACAAAAAAACCTGTCACAAAATGCTCAAAAGTGCAACGAACAAATAAATGTTGGACGATGTATTCAGAACATTTTTTATTGGAAAATAAAATACATACAAAATTCATTACAATAAAAAAAAAATTAAAACCACGCGTAGTTATTTTTTGCGTCAGTGAAGTTCCCCGCCACTTTCCAACTCAAACAAACCTAACCTCAATTCGCTACTTCACCTACTCGTAGTTCTCCCGACCCGCGGTGACGCTTGACAGCTGACAGCTGACAGTCGCCGCGGCAACTGACGTTTGTGCACGCAAATAATAAACCCGAAGACCTCACGTTTCCTCGAAAAGCCAACGGAAGCCAGCGTCTAAACCCAAAACCGCCTTAAAATGTGAAAAACTGATGAGCAGCCTACCAAAACCGTGTGGCTCGGTGGCAAGCCAAAAAATCTACCACAGCACCAAGGTAAAAATAACCGCCCCTTTCGAACGCATCGCTCACTTTTCTTTGCAGGACCCCCCTTTGTTTTTTATTATGATGCGCTTGAACGTAAAAGTAGCCCTACTTTTTCTAACGACAATCGGATTTTTCACTATTTTGATTCTGTGGTCGGTGTGCGGTAAAGAAGCGAAAAGTTTGCAAGATTGGAGGAGACGCGGAAGGTACAGTTTGGACAAGCTGGTGGAGCTTCAGGGGGCCGAAGAGATCGACTGCGACATCAACGGGGAGTATGTGATAGGGTGCCGAAAAGAAGGGGATGAAGTGTACTTGCCATTTTCTTTCTTGCATAAGTATTTCGAGGTTTATGGGAAACTAGCGACGTACGACGGTTTGGAGAGGTTCGAGTGGTCGCATAGTTATAGTAAGGTGTATCATCCAAAGGGGAAGTATGATCCGAGGGGGGTTTTTATGTATTTTGAGAATTACAATGTGGAAGTTCGGGACAGGGTGAAATGTGTTAGTGCTGTAGAAGGGGTTCCTATATCGACGCAATGGGAGAGTCAGGGTTACTATTATCCAACGCAAATTGCCCAGTTTGGGTTGTCTCATTATAGCAAGAATCTCACGGAACCGGAACCTAGAAAAAAACTGATCGAAGACGGCGAGAAAGAATTGGCAAAGTGGGTGATTCCCCATCCTGGCATCATCGAAAGGGTCTATGACAAGTCAGTCGGGAGCAAAGTATTGAAGTTTAAAACCGGCGATCTGTATTTGGATGCCATTCAACTCAAAATGGAGCACGTACTAGATTTCATTATGTCTCTTAATATAGCACTCAGCGGCAACAGTAGTTTTAGCATTGTTTTACAAAATAGGGAGACTAGAGACATTTATAATTTACACTATATCACGTCTGACATACTTATAACAGTCCAGGTAAATAAATTTAATTTAGATAATTAATATATTACATGTGACGTATTCAAGGATAACAACGTGTATCACGGACTTGGCTTGACTCAAGAATGGAAAAAAGTCACTCGCGATCTCATAGTCGACTTACAAAAAGGCTTAAACTACCTTGACAAGGAGAAATCCAAGCATAAAATTCCTAGATCCAAGTTAAAAATAATCGCGATGTCTTTGAGGGGTTATGGTGCCATCGACAATCTCACTCTGTCTTCTTCAGAGCACATACAACAGTTTTACGACGCCGCTGAATGGTTTGTGAGACACCAAGATCCAGAAACCGGTGGGTGGTCTATTCCAGTCAAAAGAAAATTGGCTTCGGGTTTCCACGACTTACAAGCAGGTATGTAATAGCCTCGCTACCTATTAACAATTATCACACAATTATGGGTTTTTAGGTTGGTACTCCGCCATGGGCCAAGGCCACGCCATCTCCGTGTTATCTCGCGCCTACCACCACTCGGGTGGCGACATTCGCTACCTGAACGCCGCTCTTGCCGGCCTCAAGCCTTTCCAAGTCTCCAGCCACAAGGGCGGAGTGTTGGCCACGTTCCTCAACAAGTACCACTGGTACGAAGAGTACCCCACCAAACCGGCGTCCTTCGTTCTCAACGGCTTCATCTATTCCCTGCTCGGCTTGTATGACCTGATGACTATAGCGCCGCCCGGTCAAGCCGACGAAGCCGAGTTCCTCTTCAGGGAAGGGATGATTTCGTTGAAGGGGATGCTCTTGTTCTACGACATGGGGAGCGTGACGTCGTACGACCTGCGACACATTACGCTAGGCGTCGCTCCGAATCTGGCAAGGTGGGACTACCACGCCACTCATATCAATCAGTTGTTGTTGTTAAGTACTATCGAGAACGAGCCGTTGTTTGTTCAGACGGCCGAGCGCTGGATCGCGTACATGGCGGGGAAGAGGGCGGCGCATAATTGAAGGGGAGGGGCTCACGACGGTTGTAAGGATGTGCAGCGGATGTCAGGCGTGCGATGGGGGTGTGGCAGCTTTTTGCGGTAGTCGTAGTCGGAAAGGGAGTCTGCCCCGGTAGCTTTTCGTTTTAAATTGCAGATATATTTTAATTTGGAATGAATGACAATCCTGAAGGCGGCAGCTTAAAGGAAAGGGGCGGGATTTATGACCAATCGGAACGTTGGCTCCCAACAGCTAATAACTTGTGTGATATTGTCCAGTTGACAAGGGAATTGTGCTTTAAAGTGCCATATTTAATATGATTTAAGTTGATTCACCCAGCACACTCAAAACGCCTGACATCCTTAAAAATCTTGTTATCCAGTGACGGCGCCTTGGAAATCCTACTGTGATTCCTAAACGACGTCAAAGATGTTGTAGGAATTCATATTTCTCGAATCTAAATTACTTTTTAGTAAACATAAACGTCTCAGATTTTAAAAATTTGACAACTCATCCCCAACATTCCACAAATGAAAATTATAACCTCTTCGTCCCTTTTCTCTAAACCTGGCGCCGCCGCTGGTCGTACCTACTCATGTTGCATTTAGTTGTTTTCTGGCGTCTGTGACGTCGGTGTAGAAGGGCTGCGATTGTTTATTGTTCAAAGGACCAAATTAGCTTCTTCAGAGTTTATTTTCGTTGTTTATTAATAGGTTTCTTTCTAAGAATTGTATACCAAACGTTTTAGACGTATTTCTATGTAGCTACCTTTTTCGTAGTTGTAGTAGCAGCAACGGCGTTGTGATTGTTCGATGTAAGCCCCGCCCGACGACCTTGACTGTCGATCGGTTCGGCAAAAAGAGGCGGAGCGGAGCCGAAATTGTAAGCACGGTATACATTTAGACTCGTATAAGTATGGTTCTCAGTTAGGAAAACCCGCGAAAGGGGACTTCGGACAGCCAAATTAGTCGTTCGAAGTGTTTTTGTACATTTTTACCAATTTCATACTGTTTAGAAGTTTTAGGTTTGTGCGGCCGAATCCATTTACATTTTTCAAAGTAGCTCAAACTGGGCGCAACATAAAAACGACTGACAATCCTAGAGTTAAAGATAAATCTCAAAATTCCATGCGGTCGCATAAATTTGAAACGGACGCGGAAATGACATTCAGATTTGTAAAGTTCGTCGTCGTATTTTCGTTATGTTGTGTCGAAATGTCGGATTTTACGAAGTCTGTTGTCGATCAGTAGGTCGAGTATCTTCAAAGACTAATAGTTGCGAGAGAATAGGAGTCAATTATAGGTTGTAGTAAATAAAAGTGTACATTAAAACGGGATTTTTGTACATATTCATGATGTTGCTGCAATCATAACATTTAATGTTAGGCGAGGCGTAGCGATTTATAAATCTTTTACAGTGTATAACGCAACTTAATCTATTCGAAAAGAGCTTACTAGTTTACCTCAGCAGTACCTAAAGCTATGTAGTTGATATACCTGTCCAAGACAGACCTGCGATCCGTCCTGGACAGACTATACTTCCAAATGTCCTGCCTAAACCACAAAGTATATAACATGTGTTCATGAAAACAGCACTAATGTAATCAGTTTGGTCGTTTCCGCGGCCGAGGTATACTTTCTCAACGTAATTTGAATTTTGCCGTCCCCCTTAACCAAGGCTTCTTTTTACCTTATTTCGAAAGCCTAAGTTAAGTAGCCGATGTGATATTATTTACGTACCAAACTGTACTTAATTTTTTCTTTTAACTAATCGGGGCACTGCCAATTGTTTATAATCTATAAGCGGCCACTTTCTCGCTTCCGAAGCGACGAAATGGCTCTCTTCGATGTTCGAATATTGGATCCAAAATTAAGTGACTGGGACAATAACACTTAGGGAAATATACTAACCTAAACAAGACCGACTTTCATTTCCCCGACACCTGTCCCGCAAACGTCAAAATTTTTCGCTTTCGAAGGGTGATCGAAATTTCCAGTCCGGGGAATGACCACGAAAGCAGGAAGGAAAGACAACCATAAACAGTGCGAAAAATGCGAGTGCCTCATTTTGCCCGACGGTTCGGACCAGAAGTGCACCAAAACAAAGTCAAACAAAGAAAAAAATGTGTACGACTCTTCGGGAGACGGTGACGAAAGCAGCGGCGAAGGGATCGTCATTTCGCCGAAATGTCACGAAACCATCAAGATTTACGTCAAGGGGGGACCCTGCCTGGACAGGGACGAGTCTTCTCTCGAGAAGGATATTTGGACGATTCCGAACAGCGACACAGGTTGGTCAAACTGAATTTGAAAAAACACGCTTAAAAATTTGTAGGAGATGATACGACGTCCAGAGCGGAGCCCGCCCCTCAAGTAAAGCCGTCTTCTCAAACCAAACCGGCTCCCTCGGAGCCTTCAGGTACCCCCAGCAAAACGACCCAGACCGCCGACGAAGAACCTCCCCCCAAGAAGAAAAACGTCTGCTTCCGACTATGTCGCAAAAAGAAGCCCGCGGAAAAAGAAAACAAGAAAGGGGACGATAAGAAAAAGGACCAAGGTAAAAAGACTGACAAGTGTCACAAAGATTGCAACACACAGACGTGCCCGTCGGGTCCGAAAGCCGGAAAGTTGGGTGACGATTTGGAAGAGATAGGAGATTTTCTTAAAACCTGTCCAAAGTGTAAAAGTTGTGGGAAGGCAGGGGGTGGAGGGTGCAATACTAACACGATTATTTTTCCGAGGGCTCAGTGCGGAGGAGACGGGGTGATTGCTAATCTGGAGAACATGTTGCGTTTGGAGGCGAAAACTAATAGCAGAAATGTCGAAGACATAATGAGCGAGTTGCATAGACAGAGGAGGGAGATTCATGAGGTGAAAGATATGTTGGAGATGTTAATGAGGGCGATGCGAGAGCAGTTGTTTATGAGTGCGTTCGGAAAAGGAAAAACGCACATGCTTGATGATTCATACAAGACAAATAAGTAAGTGGATGCAGTTCACTCAAGACTGTTGAAAGAGTGTTTTTATAATTTGTGCTTTCAGCTTAGAACGCAAAAGTAACACCCTCTCTATGAAATCCGAAGAGAAATTTGAAAAAGTCAAAATGGCACAAAATACAGCAACGCCGCCGCCGCCTCCGCCGCCACCCCAAGAAAAAAAGAAAAAACGATTTTTTCCGTGGTGTCAGTGACGCGATATGTAAAAAATACCAAATAAATAACACAAAATTATTTGAGTTTTTTTTGGACGCTGATCTAAAAAAGGCGCTTTTATGTACAACGTAAATATTTATTTAAAAAAATTATAAATAGAAGTGATATTATTTGAGTTTTTTATCTTCTCGTTGCTGCTCTAATTTCCTCAAATACTTGCAATCGTCAATTAAAAAACTATAAAAGATGCATATTAAAGGGGCCGTCGATAAATGCCACAATGAGTGGCAATCGAACGTCCATAAAATAGGAGGAGTATCAATTATTTCTAAAAGCATGACTAGGCCTGCTAAAACTACGAATATTGCACACTTTTTCACATACGGTTGGCGGACTCTATTGTAGGTGCTCCAACCAAACCAACATATAGCAGTAAAAGTCCCTATAATTTTAACGTGAGTTTAACACAAAATCGCAAGTGTTACAAACCTATATATATGTTGAGCATCATATTATAGCCATAATCAAAACCCCCCATGCTTAAATAGGCCACGTGATTTGCTAAAAACGCAACAAAGAATGTTGTAATACTGACTAGAAGAAAGTTAGGGCCATTTCTGAACAACCTGAAAAGTTAAATTGTGTTCCAAGAGCTGTTTTTGCTTGAGCAAACTTTACCTCATGATCATACAATAACACGACATAAGTACAACTGAAAATCCGCATGCATAGTCCATCAACTCAGTAATGGGAAAATCACGGGTATGGAAAATTGTGGACCACAACCATGCATTCAAACTAACCTAGAATTGACGCTTGTTTTGAAACTTGTCGAAAAAAAATTACTAAATTACAATGCAATAACTATGCCACAGCCAATACAAGGGGCTATCACTGGGCACTTCCCTCCTAAACTTCGTAATCATCGCGCTGTGGGCATAGAAATTCAACACTGAAAAAAATGCAGACGCGGGCTCTTGTATTCCAAAAAAGCGTACGAAAGGCCACTGAAACATTACTTTAGTCTGAATAATGACAAAAGCACAGTGTCCACCTTTCCATAAAACTGTGGGGTTCTCCATTTTCGATCATGAAAGGCATCGACAGTTTTCCACATGCATTCATAGCGGCACTCGTCTTCGCACGACCACTGCAACAGTTCCAAGTAAAAAGGCTGTGCATAATCAGTGAAATGTAGCCCGTCTGCAACCAAATTTTTCATACTGGATAACATAACCTAACTTTTTCATACCGTCAGTGCAGTTTACTAAGCCGCACTTTTCCACGCATCTTTGGTAGTAAGGAGAGTGGTCACCCAAAGAACATTCCGATTTGTGGACAAAAAGTGTGGAAATTGTGACCACAATCAACAAATTCATCGCAAATTGTTTACAACATCTTCGAGCACAATCGGGGATGATCGGCTGTCAAACAGCGATAGTAACGCGGGAAGTTTGTTTTTTGTTTATTTTATTGTTACAATTACATAACAGCTAAAAACCTATTTCGAGTAATATTCAATTTATCTGAAATCGTTACCAAAAATATAAAAGAATTCGGAAGCTTGTGATGCCTTCTTCTGACGCAGCTCCCTACCTTATACACCTCCGCGTTTGGGTTTCCCTTCCCCAGATGTCGCTGCATCTCTTCCTCCCTTTCCCCGATTCGAATTCGTCCAGTCTCCGCGTCGCCATCTTCGTGCACGTACAATCGTGTTCGGTACTTATTCAGACGTGTTTCGAGCGAGATGGAAACAGTGTAAATTTAGAATGTATATTAGTATGTGTCGTTATTTAAAGTGCTGCCGTGCGAAAAGTGTTTGATGTGTGAGTTTGGTGTGGAAGTTGCGTGAAATGAAGGCAGAACGGGAGTCGAGCCGCCAATAACCCGGGGTTAAAAAATCGACGATCGCTCTCGGGTAAGTTGATCGAATTCAGTTATTTATCACGGTGTTATCAATTTGATGTTGACCTGGAAAAGACGCTCTTTCGAACGTTCGCGTCACCTGACAACTCTTTATCTTTATTGTTTCGATCGATGCTTCCTAACCTCAAGAACCGTTAAAATCGTCTTAACAGGTTGTTGTTTTGGCGCTGGACTCGAAACATTTTCGAAAATTTCGGCCACCGCATGCTCGATTGGGACGACGACTGGTGACCACAGTGGCACTATCTTTGCTTGCTATTGCACACAGGAATATTTGTCTATTTCAATCGTTAAAAAAGTAATTTTCATTGTTTGATATTTACGTACGTCTTAAGTTGCAATTGTGTTAAAAACAAATGTATCCCTTCTGGTCGTCTTTTGTTACTTATATCAATGCACTTTCTACTGTTAAGCTACATTCGAAAGATTATCAAAAATTTGCGTCACGGCACACTTGATTCGGGGTGACCAGTGTTCCGTTATTTTTGCTCGCTGTTGTACTCTGCTCGTTAAAAGCAAATATTTGCCCCTTACAGCTGTTACAATTCTATTTTGATGCGATAACAATCACATATCAGTCGCCACAGTGCAAACAACACCACAATAAATAAATTAACCAAAAAAAGCAAAGCCGTCGTGATTCATCGTTCCACATTTTGGCGCGATTTTTCCGTAAAGTGTCAGGTGTTAGAGCGTGTTGTTTGTAAAGTGAGTGTTTGTTTACGTTTTATTCGTGTTAATATTCACCTCGACACTTAATTATTTACACTTTTACATTTTTATAACAATAAACAAACGTCAGTGGAATAGATAAAAAGCGCGATTGAGGTAGAAAATGTGGTCTGTATGTGGTCAAAACTGGTTCGGTGGGGTGTTTGTCCTTAACAAACTGCTTAATTAAATGGTCGGGTTTGGGTTGTCGAAAGTGAAAATTGATGGTGGCAGTTCGGTGCGACGGTTTTAAAATTTAAATTGGCGGAAACGGGGAGAAAGTTGTCGGTTTCTGAAAGTTTAATCCATGTATGACGAAATCGTTGAGAATTTAGCTGTTTTTGTCAATTGGAGATTCGGTAATTGGTGTGGGAGGGGTTACGGGAGGAGTCGGTGTGGACTTTGTTGCTTGGCTCCGCCTATTTCAACGAAACCCAACGAATCGCAGTACACACAATGGTCAATTCGCGACAAGTACGTACAACATCCAAAAAAGAATTATATAAGTTCAGTATTTTAGGTTAACTGTATAATTCTATTTACTTTTTCGTATTCTAAGACCTATGAAACGTCAAGAAAAGATAACAAACTATTCATCAAGTGAATCCTATTATAGTAGAGACCAGGAATTGGTGAACATTCCCAGAAGTGGTAAACTGCACAGGGTGATAATAGGATTTACAACGTTTGCCTGATTTTGGGTTGCTTGTCGAAAGGATCAAGGAATTTACGAATCGGACGTCTTTGTTCATTAAATATAATAACAATGACCTATGGTCCTTTCAGGAGAGGCATTATTTCAAGCCGTTTATTAAGGGCTTCCAGTACACTTGATCTTTAGTATATACGACATCCCCAGCTTACGCTAAGACCGTTGTAAAAGGTTTAAAAGAAAATACTAACTAACAGAGAGTATGCAGCAATTTTCGTTTATTTTGCTTCATGACAACGCTAATTTTTTTATAGCTTCCGAAGAAACAAACTTTCAAGTCCTTTGAATAGCTCAAGAAATTCTTCAGCTGTGTCTTTGTTGCATTCTCTCCCGAAGATTTTCAGTAGGGTCCAAATCCATCGCGTCTATTGTCTGTAAACCGCTACTTACCGCACCGGCAAGAGGGTGCGATATTGTCAAGTTAAAAAAAAAAAGATTTAGCCCCATTGCGGTAAAATGATTGCGTGCTATGATAGAAAATCGTCGTTTTCCGTTACACAACAAAACTACACTTGTAGTTCAATCCGCTGCACAAAAACAAGCCACTACTTCTGATCAAATTCCAGATGTCCCACTTCAGTTTTAAATGACACATCGCAAAAGCCGTGCGCTCGCTCGCAGCTCTCAATAATCGTATCAAATTTTAACAAACAAGCTCCTTAGATTCGGCTCCTTCTGAAGCTCGTTTTCGGCGTGTTGCGACACGTTGTCAAATCGATTCAAAGCCCACTCGTGCAAGGACCTCCGGGCAATGTATGCACCCTCGTCATTTGTCACTCACAGTCAAAGACCCAGTCCTCCCTTTACGGCATGTCCAGCTTTTGGTATGCTAATTCGTCATGTAAATCCCTCATCAGTAAGCACGAGTTTGTTTTGCCCGCGATCCTGCCGTCTCGAAACACAATGGTCTGAATTTGGAGTGTCTTTCGTGGGTGGTTTATGTACAATCTAATCATTAGCCAGGTATGTCATATTTATTTTAAAGCTACATCGGCCCACGTAGAGTGGCATTCATCAACACCGCGGAAGAAAACGATCTAACCTGAATATGATGAGTCGATGAGTCAGTCGTACGATCGGATTTGAATGCCGTTATGCGAGCCGTTTCGAACGCAAAAAATCCTGAAGGGGGCCGAAAAGATCATTACGCAACAATGGCGTTTCGACAGGAGAGGAGGAGGCAATTAAAAGCGGTCTAGACAAAAAGTTTTACGTAATAACGTCGCCATTTTGACGTTGTCGTTGCAAAGCGTCAAGGTTACGACGAGTACAAACAAACGCACCGCGGTGTAGTATTTCACGCACGCACCATGTATATGTGAGTCATGCTGTTTGCGATTAGTCTGAATGTTTTGAAAATAGACGTTTGTTGTCTTCGTGTACGACAATAATGTTCCGCTACACAGTTTTAGATCTTGACATCCGTCGAAAATAAAACGTGAATTGGGTTACCTTCAAACCTAGATTTTGACGTCTTTGTGATGGTATTAGAAAGCACGCACGTCATTTTTCCTTAACCCTTTGTTGCCTGTTTACATAAGCCAATAGGAAATTAACGAGACAGGAAAATTAATGTAGCGGTGCGATTATTAATCGAGTATGAAACTTGACACTGTTTTAATAACTTCCTAAAGCCTAAAGTGAGTCACTGGCGGAGGGGAAAATGTCGTCTGTGGATACAGGAAAAATGCGAAGCCTTATTGGGTACGACGACAGAGAAAGCATGGCAATTATGTATTGAAATTTTAATTATTACGAGCGAGTACGAGTTAATTGTCGCGTGGGACGGCACAAATTGGCACAATTCCAAAGGTTTTGTCTCTGTTTCACCTTTTGGAGTTGTGGTCCAGTCGTGGCATTGATCATGTTATGAAACGGCCTGCAGGGACGTCCCGTTCATATTTTAATTGTTTGAAAACGCGGTCCCCCGTTTAGACCTACGCAGACAATGGAAAGAACAAGGCACGAGAGGCGGAGTTAGCTTTTCGCGCTTCGCATCATCACTAGCTCCACCTCTCACCATTGTAGCTCCGCCTGCGAAATTCGTCGTAGTTACGAGATGGAAATGTCTGCTGCACCCACTGTTTATGTGTGAAATTCGGCACGCTTTTTTCCCCTCGACAGCTCTTTAGCAAGGTCGCTTTTTCCCACATCCAAAAAAATCAATAAACGATCAATCAAAATAAAACTGCAATTATGCCAACAACTACTGGTCTTGCGTAACACTTTTAACCCTATCGCCAGATCTAGAATTCGCATGTTTTTGTGAGCCGGAGGCGGATTTACGTGTTTTGACATTACGGGGAGTCACGCACCGCAGCACTCCACTGCGTGCACGCAACACTGTCCTCATTGTTTTTTTTTTCGACCATTTCGGCAACAGTTCGTTCTACCAAGCGACAATTATCGATGGCGTAATTATACTTTTCGGACTTGCGATAGCAATCGCACCGATACGATTCTAACGTTGTGCGCAATTAATGCGGTGTAACTCCAGAATGATTGAAGATTTCCTGAAGTAATCAGCGCGGAGCTAAACGAGCAATTTACATTCCAGAGCCTCTAGCCAGACCCACCTCCATTTTTTCCCTCGTTGGTATCGTTGCGTAATTGTTGTGTATGGTCCTTTTTTGGGTCGATGCCTCTCGATTTTGCCCACATCGCCGTTTTTCATTTCTTATCCTCTTCGCGGCGTTCATTTGCGGCGTTTTAAATTACCTTCCCACATATCCGCTGGTACTTTTTCATTCCGCGAATGAGCTCGCTAACTTTCCATCACGAAATCCGCCATACTGACGCGTTTTTTGAAGCGCACAACGTATTACACCAACGGTAAAGCGCCCGTTTTTTGGCACTGCGGGTTTTGACGAATCGCAAGTTTGCGAGTGCCATTTAACTTTCCAGAAGTTGGTCCCTAGCTTCGCTCCAATAACGATCGCTTTGCGCGTTATGCAGTTTGAACATGTGCAAAATTTAACGCGCCGAGCGTTCGACCGCCGCCTTATGTGGGGCATGATCGCGATTTTTGCGCGTTGGTGAGTGAGTCGAGTAGAATAATGCTAAGTTAAGTGGTTAATTATGTCGTTTTTGTGGAATTACGAAAAGCTGTGTTTGTTTCAGGCACCAATGGCTGATGATGGCGAGGCATCGAACAAGCCCAAGCCGCACAGGCCGCAGGCAAGTATGATTTATATTGTTAATCCCGCCATTACCCGATATGAATGGATAAGTAATTATTATTTATACGATGACACGTCTTGTTTCCGAGCTGATGTGCCCACACGCTGCATGCAGCTCGTCGCCGCGGGTGTGACCCGACCATTAATTTTTCCGGAGAAAGTGTTAAAAAAATCACAGGCCGGCTTCGCGGCCTTGATTGTTGCAGTTGCGACATAATGTTATGATTTACCGATGGCTCGAGTGGCGCAACTCGTACACACAAAAAAAAACAAGGATTGCCCAACGCCAGAACCGAAAAACGGCCGAGGGCAAGAAGAGCTTCGGCAGAATTCCTGCCTAATGATTTAATAATCTCGACGCGGTTGACATTTGTAAGTTGGCATTAGATTTTCCCGCGTATTACGCGGTAGCCGCATGCAGGTGCTGTAATGTCGGCTTTGTTAGTACCCAACGAAGCGAGACTCCTCCTGTCAGGGGGGAATTTTACAGAAAACAGAAATTTGCGCCGGGTATTTTTACACCTTGCCATTTCGCGTTCGTTTGATTGTTTCGACGAAACTATTTTCGCTTTTTGTATACGCCATTAACCGACTTAGTAGTTGTGTTAATTGTCGGTGCCCGCTAAAAATAAGTTTATCGTCTCGATTTGTTTGCAACAATGGCAAGTAGGAAGCGTTTCGCGTCTCCGACGCTATCGAAATCGTCCCGTAGACGCGTCGAATCGCTAAAATTGGAGCGAAACTTCTTTTCGTCGACACATATTCTTCGCTATCAACCGTCCCTGCACAAATATAGAAACCGCAAGGTGCGGTTCGAAGGTGGAATTTTTCCCGATGCACTTTTCCCATTTTGCGCGCTTAATTGCGTTTTGAAATTTTCTAAATCACGCTTTTGCTTTTTGTCGATTATTATTATTCAAGCGAGTGAAGGTGCATTGTTTGTTACGGAAAAAAAGGCGGTGCGTTTAATTACAATTGCGAGAAATGCCTCGGAGCGCGCACGTACTTAACTCTAATGCAGAAAAATGTCGAAGGCAGTGCCGAAACGTGAGCCGGCTGCACCTGAAGGTTACCTTTTTCGCAACATCCGCTCATTTTTCACGGAAAAATAAACCAACGGCCGAGTGCCTTATTAATTTTAATCCGTCGATGTCTTGTCCAAACACTTCGGTTCGGTTTAGAGAAGGAAGCCGTGTTTACGACAAACACGCTGCAGTTACATAAAGTACTGCCGGTTTCAAATAAACCGGCATCTGGTAAAAATCTTCGCGGGGGAAAGGTTTGTTTGAACGGGGGGCGGCATGTTCAGTGTCGGCCGGACCAATCGACGAGGTTTTTTGAGAAAAAACGCCAAAATCTGCGGAATGTGAGCCGGCAACGTAAATATTATGTTGACTCTTTACGACGGCGTTAACTGCTACTAAACGTCGTTTTTTTCGCGACCCAACAAACGCTCCTCTGTTTCAAACATTTAGGTCAACAACTCCTTACTGGGGTATTTTACGGGCGCACCCTCGCCTCGATCCGGGCGAAGCTACGAACGTTTCCACCGGATAACTTCGTGAAGGGAGGTTATCGTCGGAATTCGGGTGACGCAACGCAGATAAAGACGGTCAGACTTTTAATTGAATATTATTGCAATCGTCGGCGGCGCCTAAATTCCGGATAAGCTATCAATAACCGACGCTATTTAACAATGTAAATGGTAAGTAAACATGCATATTTAGAAGATGTTGATTTATACCTGCGTGCGTCACCTTGAAGCCGCTTAATAATTATTATTCGCTTGGAATTTCAATGAAAAAAAGCCATTACAGCGCTTTTTTACGTGACCTTATCGATCAAAGCAACGAATTCCTGCGTCGTTGTAATTTATGGCGCCCGCCGATAAAGCATCTTCCCGTACACAAAGGCCCATTTTCACCACGCAAAATACGGGAATGCCGAGAATCCCTCGTCTCGTCGGTGAATCATCCGCCCACGTTTCGTCTCTCACCCTCAGGATCGCGACTCATTCAAATGACACGAACTTCATCAAACGAGTTTTCCCATATATGGCGGCGTTATTCGCGATCGGCAAATATGGTAGCGTCGATACGTTTCGAATTTTTCGGCAAATTTTTAAACGGCGAACTCAGGAAGGCATCGTGGGACCTCCTGCATGCGCCCAGACAGATGGGTCAAGGGACGAGCGACCAACGGGACGCGGTGGCAGCTGCCGCGAAGCATAATCACAAAAGAAAACAGTATCAAATAGCGACAGCGTCAATATTGATTGAATCGAGTAACAAGTGGATAAATCGCACAAACAATCGGAATAAACAGACGGCGGCTCGCGTGAGATTGACTCATATGCCAAGGGTACGAAGAAGAAATCGACGATCGCGGCATCACCGTATGGGTACTTGCTGAAAGTAACAAAAGTCCAGATCGATAAGTTCAACAACCTAGAAGAAAATTTAAAAGACTTTGCATGCCCGCAAAAATTGTTACCAGTCATGCAAGAGTCTACGCCTTATCAGCGTGTGGCGAAAAGTGGCCTGAAATCGACGGATTTACTTAATAATTCATGCGGGTAGGCACTGATTACTTTCCATTCACCAGACGCCGAAAAATTTGACTAGTGCCGATCGGTTTCGAGGGAATCTTGTCGACATTCCAATTCCGAGGAAGTTCCGTCGTTCTATTAGGCCGTAATCGCTTTACCTGACGGAGGTAATACTCCGTTGGGTCGTTATCCCTTTTGCGGTTCTGCCGGCACGAAAGGAAACGTATCCAGAACAAATTCTTCTCCATCGAAAACAAACAAACCAAAAGACACGTCATCCCCTGAATAATGCATGAGCGTCGTCTTAAAACTTTAAAGAAGGTCGCTAAACATCAAAATCAATCAATACGCGACGGACGCGTATCCTTGTCCGAAGTGACGACTGCGACCACGAAAATCGTCTCATCATGCCTCATCGCGCTGTAATTCGCGAAGATAAAACTCCTATAAAAATTAGAGTGGGTTTTAATGCTTCCTCGGAGCGAATTACCGCCATTAAATGCGCGACCACGTAAATCCCGGTCTGCTGAAAGGCAGGAATCTGCAGAACAAGTGTTCGCCACCCCTGACACACGTGCGTACCAAAACTGCATTGTTCGAGACAATAAAAGTCGGTGACGACTCCATTTCGCCCACTTTTCGGAATCTGATGACATAATGCGATTCCCTCGTGGTGGGAACGTAATAACGAGCGCCCCCGTCGAGCGATCGAGGGTGTCCCCATTATGCAACAACCCCGAACGAGTTCACCCCTTCGTCTGGGTTAGTCGAACAGGGCGTCGCCCGTCGTAAACCAGAACCTAGAAAGGGCATCGGGTCGGAAAAAATTTGATCGTTTTGGAAAGTTCAGGGCACGAAGAAGGTCGCGTCTGCTGTGATGTAAATCCGGACTATGCTTTCACCCATTGTCTGCATTTGCATTTGGATGAAAATTGGGCCCAAGTCACGGATCGTATGGGTTTTACCGTTAAATTCGACTCGGTTATCGCGCAACGTGGGTCGGACGTTATCGCGTGTAATGATTTATTTTGCTTGGAATTATTAAATTTGAGATTCGTAAACAACGAGATTGGCAAACGTAATTTACGATCGTACCGAGAAAATAAATATGCAATATGCGAAAAGTGTGTTGACCGACATAAAAATTAATTGGTTTTATGGGGAGCGCAGCCGCATTAATCTTTGTTAAGGAAGCACCGATGATTGGCTTTGTCGCGGTTCGAGTACACGTGCTAGGGGCGTCGCGAATGCTACGTCGAGGCCATCTATCGTCGGACCCATGCAAATGATAAAGGAGGCTATCACTCGAGTGCTCGGAGTGCCATCTTTGCGGAAAGCGAGGAGGTGTTCCGCGCGGGCGATAACGATCCGCGAATTAATTATCCTAATGAAAAGAGTTCAGTTGCGCTTTTTACAACTTCGATCGCTTTTTTTTTTCTTTAATCGAGAGGTCGATCCGTTTGCGTGTCCGCACGAAGCATCAATGAGTTTCGGCTTCTCCTCTTTCTTCTAGAGAAAGTGCAAAATGACTCACCGCGAAACCGGCTATCACTTTGAATAATGATATGGACAAACTGTGTTTGATCTGAAAGTAACGGACACGCGAACAAGAGATTTTTTGTTTCGACGCGAAAAGTAAACGCTCGAATGTTATTTAGACCCCAAATTAGGCACCTTTGTACGGGTCCGATTGTGTTTCTCTTGTCGTTTTATTATTTTCTTGTGTCGCTTTCACACTTCCGTCAAAATATGTTGGCAGTGCGCCACATACTTTGCTTCTTTTTGAATTGTTACACTTGATTTTTCTCGTTATTTTGTCGCTGCGGTTCTATTCTTGGAACCGCATTCTTACCGAGTTACAAGTTTTTCTTTTTGCCACCCGGCCTAACAACATAAATGCGAAATATTTACATGTTGCGAAACATAAAATCAAATAAACATCGAACGGCATGTTGCTGATCGCTTCACCGATAAGCTAAACTTGTCTCTGGGTGTATTTGTTGACACGATTTTTTATCGTCTCGCAAAAACTCCAAAGGTCTCGAATGAGGAAAATTCCTTCGCGAAAACGTCCTTGGTTCCGTACTTCATGATAACGAACGCACGGAGAACAGTTTGAAAAAACAATAACAGGTTATGGTCGCAAAGTCTAAGATCGAAAATCGTAATTGCGTTAGGCGAAGGCGACGAATCCCGCCGCCGCGTTCGGAAAACCGTGGGTTTTTAATCTCTCCTGTAATCGCCTCCTATCGGGTTTCCTCACGGCACGTGCTAGTTTTTCCGGCAAAATGTCGCAGCAAATACCAAGCTTCGACCTTTCCGTCTCGACTCCTTCTGCTTCGATCCGCGCTCCTCCGCCTTTAATTATCGTCATATTCTCTTCCGCGTCCGCCAATTTAAGTGCGGCCGCCCGAAATAACTCCCGATAATTGACAAGTTGGATGTGGTCC